TCACCAAAAATGTTTCTAATTGACTTCCAGACCCGAAATAATTTTCCCATAAAGGTTTGAAATTTTTCAATTTTGTCGAAAAATTTCTCCACCTTCTCGAATTTTTTTCTCGAAAATGCGTAGGATTTCTGGGGTATGTCTGTTCACCAAAAATGTTTCTAATTGACTCCCAGACCCGAAAATAATTTTTCCAGAAAGGTTTGAAATTTTTCAATTTTGTCGAAAAATTTCTCCACCTACTCGAATTTTTTTCTCGAAAGTGCGTAGGATTTCGGGGGTATGTCTGTTCACCAAAAATGTTTCTAATTGACTCCCAGCCCCGAAAATAATTTTTCCAGAAAGGTTCAAAATTTTTCAATTTTCTCGAATTTTTCCACCTGATTAAAATAATTTCCCCCCTACGTTTAGAGGTAAAAAAAAAAATCCTAGATAACGAAGTAACAGATGCACGGATAGCGATAGCTAAAAGGGGAAGTCGACTACTCTGGACCGTGCTCGTCAGAGGACAGGAAATACTTTATAAAAGTAGCGTCGCGCAACATTCTGGCTGCGCAGTTCAGAATTTGTGACCACCGCGATAAACAGGTCTCACAGTGTCTTAATGACGCGCGCGTAATATCAATCATGGGAACGATACGTTATCTACGGCAAGGATTATGAAAATAAACACTACGCGAAAGGAGAACCGATGCATCCGGTAATCGGTTTCTTAAACCTGTGTTTCAGTAGTTCGTAACACCTGTTGGATAACGTCTCGAGTATCGCAACGAAAAATTCCCTAGCTGCCTGACCACAAAAATGCTTCGCCACGTAGCGTTCATGTTTTGGAACGCATCGACTGCGGCTAAAACTTGCCGCAGTTCAGCATCGATCCATTCTCTGCGCGACTCGCGTGCACATTCTCGAAAATTAGATGCTCACCATCCCTCGTAAAACTGAGATTTCACCTAATCTCGTAACACGTTCCCGACGATCGAATGTTCTGGCCGTTTCAGATCATTTGTCTTTACTTCGTCGAATAAACGTTGCTAATAAATCACTGTTTACGCGAAGGATAGAGCAGAGTATTTGCTATCGATTATGCTCCGTGAAAGACTCAATTTTTTCGCTAGAATTATGTCACGTATATAGAACACACTGTGTCCACAGCAGTGACCCAGATTACTTGCTTCACGTAAAGTTCATTCATGTGTTTAGCAGTGTCAGTTGATTAGCAAAGTAAAAAGTAGGTGACACAAATCGGTGTACAGTGGGTATTATTTTCAGTTCTCGAACACGAACTACCAAAGTTGTGCACTGATAAGCAATGTGTCAAACTAACTAGATCGTAGCAAATTATTGTTATACAATTTAACCTCTTTAAGGACTATTTATTATTGATAGTAACTACAATTATAAAAAAAAAGTGGCCAACGGCGTGAAGAGGTTAGAGTAAAATAATGTCAAGGAAATCCTTCTTATCGTCCATAAATTCTATTTTCACGATAGCAATGATATTTTATCATCACTTTCCGTTTTACCACATTCTAATCGCTAAATCTAAGTTCCATCCAGGACTCTCTTATCCCAGGCTCTCACACGGAACAGTACGCCTGATCGACGAATACAATACAGTAATTAGACACCGTGATCGATGCACGTGCATTCCATAACTATGTGCCACGTAACCCCGGCAATATTCCCGCGAAAAACAATCCGCCGATTCGTTCGACGAAAAAGTAAAAGTACTTCGTGCTCTATCCGACCGCTAAATAAAGATAAACGCACGTTCCGAGTTTCAAAATATTTCCGATTGGACGTATCGAAGTTTGGGTCGAGATACAGCTCGTCAGACTTTTATGTAATTCGTAAATATGCAACGAGAGATTACCAGCTGGCCCACGGAACGCAAACAAAGAACAGTCGCGAAACGAATCCGACTGTACGCGACCACTTTGGTATTCCATCAAGCTCGTGTCCTCGGGCGTTACCCTTTTCTTCGACAGTCGTCCGTTTTATCGATGAAAACGATAACGGCCGCCGCTTTAACCCCTTAACGTTCATGCCCGAGTCTGACTGCTTTGAAAAACGATATTTGTTTAATCTAATGGTTTAAGGGATGATAATATTTGTTTTCCTTCAAATAATACGTTGGATACAACATTGTAATTAACAAAAACCGCATTTTTAGAAACAAATCCAATAAAGAAAACTGATCATTCTTGGTTAACCCGAAAAATATGAACGTTAAGGGGTTAACACGTTGACTGCCGGTCCAAAATCCGAAAATTGTTCGCGAGATCAAAACTCTGATTTTGGGCAATTGTAAACTGCACAACTTAAAAGTTTGTCGTAACAGTTACGTTTCTAACCTCATTAAAATTTACGAAGCCTGTTAAAATTGATCTTTTTTAACGTTTCAACTTGAGAATTCATTGTTTTGGTTCCACAGTTTAAAGTTCTGTCGCCCAAATATGGCTGACGTGGCAGCCAAAGTGTTAAAGGATTTCCAACACAGCCGGACTACGATAATCTCTTTTTTATTCGCTCTAGTCTCGTTCTCAAGGAGCTCGAGTGTCGCTACGCGCGTTCTATTACGTTCTCCTAGGCGTTTCGCGCCACGCTTAGATTTCTCGAAATTCCTGCGCAGACGCGATCGAATTACACGAGTTTCGTGCGCCGCTATAGGCCCGTCGTTTGCACGAATTCCAATAAAATGCTCGTTAACCTTGTCTTCCCAACGTTGTTCCGTTCGCGAATGTCGCGTTGTCATTCTCGGAAAGTCCAGTCACCACTCGTCGTTTCATCTAATTACGCCTGATATCGCGTTTGCATTTCGAACCGGCGATCGACGCGACGATTTCGTTTTTTCTGGCTGCCAGCGAACCGCCGCGTGATCGGTTCCTAAGGTCGAATCTGACTGGTCGACGGAACGTGGAAAATCTCACTGATTCGCTACGCAGCTTCTCGTCTCGCGATATTATTTACGGAACGTTTACGATTTTTTGTGTTTTACTTCTTGAATATCTTTAACGCTAGATTTACGAAAGCTGTTAATTCGATGGATGTCTGATACCATATTTAAAATTGTAGAACGCGTAAATCTTACTTTTTAACAACTTACGTTGAATTTGATCGATGCACGAATACATATTCTGATTAAAAGAGAAATCGTATTGTAAGGTATCGATAAATGCCCGTAAATCTAGTTATCGTTTTTCATTTATTTGTCAAAGCTTCGTTCAAAGTGTTTGAATATAACCTGTTCCAAACCCTAGAAAATTCTGATTCCTAAACACGAATTAACCGCTGGTCGGTTTATGTTCGTTTATGCTCGTATTACGCCACGATGCTCCTAATTCTGGAACACCGTGTATATACATGTGAGAACAACATGCTCGCGTTACTACGACCGGTCTTGTAAACGTGAAAAGTAACCGCCAATGCGGTAGCTGCGTTCATCAAACGATCCCCTCGGCCAGCCATGCCATACGGGCGAAATGTCCCTTTTCACAGACACGTTTCCTGTCATCGGTAACCAACACTACTTGTCACGAACAAAATCTTTGATACTAACTGACCTTCCACCCCGAATAACCGTTACGAACAGCCTAAAACTTTAATTATATTAAATTAATTTGCTCGCATCAGCTCTCATATAAATTCTAACCTCGTTATTTTTTAGACACTATATAAATTTTGAAAATCTATGTATTGTAAACGAACATCTAGATTATAGAACGCCTGCGAAGAATCACAAATTTCAATCACCGCAACGGTTCATTCGTATGCTTGACCCAAATCTGCAGATGGCTGCATGTAACGTTAGATACATCATTTATGGCAATAAAATAGCACGAACAAGAGCCATAAAACATCAGTGCATATGTTGTACTTGAGATGTTAAGCATTCGTTAATTTAACGCTCGAAATTTAACGCTTTGAATTTGTGTTGCAACACGCAATAAGATTCAGAACAATTTCAAGTCCCCCACTACTCAGTGTGCAACGTCCAACATAAAAATAAATAAACTTGAATCGGTCGATAGCGTTATACATATAGAACTTTCAATGGTGGACTTTCAAATTTAAAGATGATCCAACGTGAAACGCGTGATCGTTGGTGCAGGATGCCAAAAAACAAAAGATATCAAAATCTGTGCATAACGTAAAAGTTCATTGTATGTTAGAAAATAATTTACAAACGCACCGATATTTATGTCCAGGTCTATTAAATTGTGTTTTACAGAAAACGTGTATGCCTTTAACGAATGACGTTACAACGGAATAATTTCCAAGCAAAAAAACGCGAACGCGTTGGATCTTCGATCGATCTCGAGCACGAGGAAAATATTCGATAAAAACGCTAGTAAAATCGATAGTGATATCATATTTGCCCCGTTTGACATTAACAGGAAATTATGAATCTATTATAAAAAGAAAAGCATACCACCGAATCGATTCGATATAATTTTCAAGAAACACCGTATCAGGTATGTACAACCTGTTTGTAGAACGTAGGGATAGCCAGGGGAAAGGATCGCGAAGAAAACCTGTTGATCAGTTATTTCAAGTTTTCCCGAGCGAGCAGGTATCAAAATCCGTCGAACGTGCAAGATTTTTGATACTAAATAAAGCAATAACCTCATTGGTATCTAGGTGAGCGGAGAAGCTTGGCTGCATTTCAGAATATACGAAAAGAATATCAAAATACGGTTCCCGTGTAACGTTCAAGTAACATCTGACTTCACCCTGAGCGATACAGTTTCTAACGTAGTTGTTATAGATTCTTAATTATCAAACATTTGGTTTGATAATGGCCTACGTGATATTCCGATTAAAATTATCGTGCATTACGATTCAACTGATTAGTAACCGCATCGTGTAAATAACTGATTAACGTTCAACGTTGAAGAATATTTCTTTAAGACAATGCGATAACGGATCATAACAGTGCACAGCATCCTACGCGAATGAAAGTTAAATCACGGGAATAAATAAAATTCTTTGCTGATACTCACTTTGCGACAGTTTCCCGTCCGGTAATCCAAAAGTGTATGAGCACGAGCACGTAAAATAAACAGAAAACAAGAAAAAGAAAACGGTAATTGGTACAAAGAGTTTGAACCTAAACTCACGCGACACTCTCTACTATACGACTGATGGGTTCTGGAATTCCGTGCGTCCACCGAACCAGGTTCGTATACCTATTCTCTGTTTACCAGTACACGATGCCCCCTACTAACCATCCACGGTACTACGCGCAGCAGTCGGTAAAGCAGTAATTCCAAAAGTTCCATATATCTTCAAAATTGATTCTGAATAATAAAACATAACTAAAATAAAATATATTAACAATTAATACGCTGATCGCATAGAATTTTATTTAGCGTTAGTTATAAAAAGTAATTCCCTCGTGCGTGTAAAAATATCAATTAATTTGTCGCGTATTTTAATTCATGAATTCTAACATATTTTACATGTTCTACGGTAAATCATAACACATATTTATTATTTTATAATGATAATTACGATTGCATACTGTAATAATAGAATCGTAACGTTATTTGTTCGTGTTAATATTCTTGAGATTTTTAAATATGTTACATTCTAACTGCATACACCAAACATAAATCGTGTTACGCACACATATGAACTTAATTTAAATTAATTGGTAAAATTTTACATGTATACGCTGTCTGTCAAGACTGTCAAATGTTCAGATTGTCATATCAGTCGATTGCGTATATGGGAATAGATAGGTCCTTATATTTATAATTTATGCAATCTGCAATTGATAATCAAAACACGTCATATAACATACAGCGACCATAAGAGGTTTGTGGATGTATTGTTTTGTATAAAATGGTAAGATTAGAGAAACTCTATTAAACCGTCGGTTGAACAGTTGCTGTCATCTGGTATGCAAACACTATTGAAGATGGCTTCAAGATTCAGCGGCGTAAAATTAGGGCCTCCGATAGAGGTTTTTGCTCTTCAGAAAGCCTTTGTAGAAGACACTTTCGAAAAAAAAGTAAATCTGTCCATAGGAGGTATGTATATATATTTTCACTTTATATATGCATATGTAACGTGACAAATGAATAAATGATATACATATATTTTTCTAACCAATTTGAAAAGAAAAAAAAAGAAAAATATATATATATATATATATATATGTACATATAGAAATATATAAACATGGCAGGACTAATATCCAAATAAAATTTCTCTTAAACCGATCCATTTATTTCCAAACGAATATGATCTTGAATGACCTCCATGAATATCTGGCCGTTACATAACTTATTATTACATGATACATAGATATGACGTTTACTTAATCCAATAAAAACTAATCAGCACATAAATATTGTATGCCTCTTAAATACATTTAAATATTAAATCTTCCATGATAAAACCTAATATTGTTTTTTACAGACGCAATAAAATATATTCCATGTTTTCTTTCCGACGGTTTATTTCTCTGTAGAATCTGAACAAAATAAATACATATTTTTTGTAATATATTTCCTTCTGATTAAAGCAGAAATAAATAAATCTGTTGGTTGGAAATATTTAAAAAAAAATGAAATGTCTTTTGATGAGATCAAAATGCATTGTCTCTGAGCAAAGAAATTGTTCAGAGACAAGCAAGATGTACGATAAATTTTCTATGTAATTGTTAGTACACGTTACTTTCAGCTTATCGTACCAACGAGGGGAAACCATGGGTGTTACCGGTCGTTCGAAAAGTAGAAAAATCATTGGCTGCGGACGAATTACAAACTCACGAATATCTTCCTGTTTTGGGATTGGATGCATTCAGTCAGGCAGCGACGACTATGTTGCTGGGAAAAGATTCCGCTTTGGTGGCGCAGGGCCAAGCTTTTGGTATCCAAACGTTATCCGGTACCGGGGGATTGCGCGTTGCGGCTGAATTCTTAAGTCGCATTCTTCATTACGATACGTTCTATTACAGCAGACCCACGTGGGGTAAGTATTTAGGAACACGATATAATGCAGCGTTTCTCAAAGTGTGATCTGTGAGAACCATTAGAACATTAAAAGATAATTTTAATTGTTCATAATGTCCATAAGTAAAATCTACGAAAACAGCAGCTCTTTGTGCTCTGGTGATAAAAACGTTTGAGAATCGCAAAATATAATGGAACAATCACGTTTAGTGCATGACATTTAACTCGTAGTATGTCCATAGGGAACCATAAACTTGTGTTCCTTAACGGAGGATTCAAGAACGCTTGCGAATACACATATTGGAATCCCAAGACTCGCAGCATTGATATAAAAGGAATGATCAAAGATCTTTGCGATGCTCCGAAAAATGCTGTAGTTATTTTTCATGCGTGCGCGCATAATCCAACCGGATGCGATCCAACCTCCGAACAATGGGCCAAAATAGCAGATTTGATAGAAGAGAAACACCTATTTCCACTTTTCGATAGCGCATACCAGGTGAATAATTCAAACGGAGATTCAGAAAGTAAAAAAATAATTTTGAAAACGATACAATTTTTTTAGGGTTTCGCCAGCGGCGATTTAAATAAAGACGCTTACGCTGTAAGATTGTTCGCCGAGCGTGGGATAGAATTGATGTGCGCGCAAAGTTTCGCAAAAAACTTCGGATTGTACAACGAAAGGGTTGGAAATTTGGTGGTTGTTATGTCCGATGTAAAATTAGCTGCATTTACCAAGTCTCAATTGACTTTGATCGTTCGAGGAATGTACAGCAATCCACCTAACCATGGAGCAAGAATAGTTGCAACTGTATTACAAAACCCAGATCTCTATAAAGAATGGTAGTGCCTTCGTACTGTTTGAAGAAATTAATTTGGAGAAACTTATTCACATTTCTGAACAATGATATTGAAATGTTTCAGGGAGGATCATATTTGTACAATGTCTGGTAGAATAAAAGAAATGCGAAAATGTTTACACGAAAGACTGGTTCGATTAGGAACACCAGGTTCATGGGATCACATTACTCAACAAATAGGAATGTTCTCTTATACAGGACTCACCGGTCAGTATACGAAAAAACTATTTTATACGATTTTTTTTCAAACAGTATGTTAATAAGTATTATTTCAGAGAGACAAGTTGAACATTTGATAAATCACTATCACATCTACATGTTACGAAGTGGTCGAATAAACATGTGCGGAATCAATGAAAATAATCTGGATTATGTAGCAAACGCGATCTACGAAACTGTCGTACTATTTCCACAAAATGAGGAAAGCTGTACATGTTAATATGGCTTCTTAAGACACGACGTAAATCTAAATAAGTATACATTGTTGAAGCTTTAGTACCGAAGGCATTGTTGAAGTTTAGTAATATTTTCTATGTATTCAAATTAAATTAGAACCATAGAAATTCCGTATAGTTGCTATTTTCGTATCTTGTTACAAATCTTCTTTGATTTACTAGAATGTGTAAACTCTATAGATTACTTTTGGTCAAACGTTGTTTCAATTCTCGAGAAATTAATACGAATTTTTATGTTTTGCAGAAAATAAACCGTTTTGTTAAAAATCGCCTTATCTACAAAAGTACAAAATGTCGCAAAGTATTATGAATCGCCAAATTTTAATACGTATGTTGATACAATCGCTTATTATTAAAATCATTTCAATGGAGCTTGAACAGTTTACAGAAAAGTACGAAGCATTTACTACAAAAGTTCACTTTGATACCATGTTTTTATTAAATCTTAAAAACATTAGTATTGACGTTCAATAGCATCAATAGTATTGACTGAATATTTTTACAAAACTTTTAATGATTGCATTTACAAACCGTAGGGCATTTTATTCTAGAATCTAAATATTTTGTTTGAATTAGCATTTATTACGCACAATCTTGTAAATAAATTAAACCGTTGTTTTAACCGTAAAGAAAGTTCCAGAACTGAATGGAAGTTTTTAAAAATATTCAAAAATTCAACTTTTCTATCAGCAAACATCTATTTATAAAGTATCTTATACTAAGTATGAAATTTTTAATACTAGATTGATGTGCGCACGTTAATTCTACGAAAAACTAAAAATTATTTATTATAGAACGAATATAAAAGTGAAATTTCAATTATTTTAATAATAGGCGATTAATTTGCTATCGAAGATTTTTCATTTCCGCAGACAGAAATTTAAATTTAAGAACTATCGAAATTTCCAAATGTTATAAGTCATTGTTGCTGTTAGTTACTATTTAATATCATATTCTAAGTGAAAAATCAGTTATGCTTTCAAGCGTTATACAAGAAAAAAGTAATCGCAATATATGATAATGGTATATTTTTTCTATTTATGAGGGAAAGTTAGTTTTTTATCAATGTATATTACAATTTTGAAGGTATTAGACATAGTTTCAAGTATACTCATTAAATGATCCAGTGAATCGGAAAAGAACGATTATTTTAAGAAGAATATATAATTTTTTATTTAGCAATCTTCAATTTTGATTTATTAGTTGCTTCCAAAGTAGTTTGTAAATTGCATTAACGCGAAGAACGTGAATTTTTACAATCAAAATCAATATGATAAACGTTCGATGTATAGTAATCTGTATATCTTCCAAGTACTGCATGGAAAAGTACAATCAGGCATTTTATTTCTATCTCTCCGAGTATTAGTTCACTTGTACTATATATTACTAATATTTAAAATGTTTATATATTACGTACAAAGAAAACTATACACGTTTGTAATGTTTACAGAATAGCTATATATATATATATATACACACACACACACGTACATATTTTTAGTAAAAAAAATTGTTGTGACATTTAAGCTTAGAACAGTCCTTGTTCAAAAGTCTGGACCAAATTCACAACCCTTCAAATTTTTGTAAAAATTACTTACAATTTAAAACGATCTTGTACATACTGCCAAAGTTGACGACTTGAGCGAGCAGTGGCAAGGATTACTTTTCTATATATTTGTATGTAATAAATATGATGCAGAATGTCGTTTATATTTTATAAAATAATGTATAATTTTGTAAAAATCGCAATATAACTAAAAAAAATATTACCCTAGTTTTAACATGCATTTACGCAAGTTTTAAACTCTTGTAGGACTTAAAGAAGAGAATTGTATCCGAAACGAATATAGAAACGATATAATTGTACGAACGAATTTAAAACACACTGGACACACGATCTTTTTACACAAATTAATATTATATGGAAATCACGTCTGTCATTCGCAATTACTCGTTTTTTTTTTTTCCTGTTATCTGTCCCTGGTTACTCATTCCTTCGCGAACAAAACACCTTCGACCCTTTTGCACATAAATTAATATTTAACGAAACTACAGCGCCGTGCAAGTCTTCAGTACAAATCTCCTACACTTTAAATACCGCAATAGAGATTAGATACATGATACTGTAACATTATAGCTAATATTTTTAACACAGCGAATGTTCGAAAGTAGAATTATATACAAACGTATTTGCGTTTCGGGAAAGAAAAACAATATTCTACATTTTCTATTTAGAATTTCTTAACAGGTCAAGATATTATGTATTTGAGTTTGGAAAAATGTAGCCAAATTACATTTTGTTACGATACGGTATAACATATAATTAAACTGTAATTGAATAGTTATTTATGTCAAAAATGTTCGAAATTTATTTTATTGTGGAATTATAGTCGGTATAATTGGATTTGTAGTTCGTAAATCACCTTCCCCTTAATATTTATTTCTTAAAATGAAAACGTGTAAATTTGTTCAACATTTGTATAACGTCTTTTCCAATATGGCAGCCAACATGTTAATAATCTTTAAATTCATATTATCATCAATTGTACAAGGACTTTAGTACAAATAAGCATAATATGACAAAATGCTGCTCTGAAATGTTTAACAATTATTTCGTTTTCAATATTGTTATTGATAAATACACAATAGAGCAAGAAACAATTTCAATTTTATTTATATGTTACACGATTGTTGTATATGTATAATAACATATCACTTAAACGTGTACAAATTAAATAGTTGATATATTATTAAGAAAAATAGTATAGTACGTATGTTAAGTAAACTAAAGTACAGTGTATAGCTAACATTATTACCAATCTGTAATTGTTACTAATTTACATGAAACAATATAAACTATTCTAACCATTTGGATGTTTTCTTTTTTAAAACAATTGTCCCATCTGCTGTTACTGCAGAATAATGCTTCGTGCTATCATAATTTCGACGCATATAAATAAGATATCCTATACAACTAAGTATTGTCACAGCCCCAAAAATCATTATTCCTTTATTCTGAAAATTTAATTATGAACAATTACTATCGGGGAGTATTATCGTGATGAATATTTAAATGTTAACGGAAAGTCTCGAGTAAATAATTACGTTTAACCTCATATGCATATTTTAATCTCAAGAAATGGTCTTACCGGTTTCACATATAATTCATAATTAACTGCACGAAATAATCCTGTACTTCTAAGCGAACGTAAACCATCGCCTGGTGTTGGTTCGTCTTTTTTATTCATTGTAAATTTCAATTAAATATATTTTTGTTTGTAAAAAAATTTATGCCAAAATTTTTATAACGAGCATCGATATCAAAGTTTCCAACATAATATTCACATCTACGGAATGAAATTATTGTCGGTCATCAAGGTTTTTAAATTCTTTCGTTGTTTATAACGTGTTATTGCTCCCTCTTACAAAACTTTTTAACGATTAACAGAATCCAACGATAATAAGAATATTGATATTATTTAAGGTTACAAAAAATAGTAGATGATGTTAAAGTAACTTTCCATAACTAATCAAATGTATTATGAAAAGCAATAATTTTGTTATTTTCAAATAAATAGTAAAGTGTAAAATTGAATGCTAACCCAAACCTAACCTCTTTTATTCTCAGAGAAAATCAAAACATTTTTCTTCGCGTGGTATGTACTCGGAATAAAAGCTTTTCATAAAGATGGTACGAAAACTGAAATATCACGAACAGAAGCTATTGAAAAAGGTTGATTTCATATCATGGCAAGCAGACAGAAATTTGTACGAAGTAAAAATCTTAAAACGTTATCACGTACAGAAAAGAGAAGATTATGCGAAGTAAGCACTTGCACTTAAAAATTTAGTACGTAGATTTAAAGGAAAATATAACTTAAAGCTTTTATTTATTTTAGATACAACAAGCTGGCGCGTGAGATTCGTGAATTAGGTACAAAAATTAAAGAAATCGATGCAGAACACCCGTTTCGAATAGAACAGAGTGCATTATTGTTAGAAAAATTATACATGATGGGGCTCATCGCAACCAAATGGGATTTGGCATTGACGCAGAAAGTAAGCGCAATTTCATTCTGTAGAAGACGATTGCCAGTCGTCATGGTACGAAATAAGATGAGCCAAGGAATTAAAATGGCAACGCAGTTAGTAGAACAAGGTCACGTTAGAGTTGGCGCAGAAGTTGTAAAGGACCCTGCTTTTCTAGTAGCAAGGTACATAAATGCTTTGAAATAATACAAAGCAATCGATACAAAAATAAGTTGTTATAGATGTACTAATATAATTTTTAAAAATTACAGAAATTTAGAAGATTTTGTGACTTGGGTGGACACATCCGCTATCAAGAAGCATGTATTAGAATATAATAATGCTGTGAGTGTTTTATACGACAAAATATATAACTTGTATTTACATCTATTATACTTATTCTTTTACATATTCTTTTTGTTACAGAGGGATGATTTTGATATGGCGTAAATTAAATAATTATGTTTTTGTATATTTGTATCAATACTTCTTTTAACAAAATTATGATATTTTTGTTCAAAACAATTTCAGTTACAATTATAAAAAATTTCTGAACATTTGAGCGAATAAAATTGTGTTATTTGTTGTTGGTATACAACGAATTGTAACAATATATAGGAAGATCTTGATTTGCCAGACTTTCCATATATTTATTGCCCAAGAGAATCTTGTTAACAGATTCTTGAGACTTTTGAACAGTCCGTTTTTTATGAATTCCTTTAAGTATCATATCGCGCATACCATCGATATAATTGCTAAGAAAACAAACATTTAATTAAGAATTAGCAATAGAATTTTGTAATAATAATAATAATAAAGAAACCCCGAACATGATATCAATTAATTTCTATGCATTTTTCAAAACCATGTACCTTATATTCATAAATGTAAGTTTTGTAATAAATAGTGAATACGAAGAAATTTCGTAATTGTCTTATCAAAACTATTTTGTTAAAAAATGTTTCCTTAATGTAATAAATATTGCTTCGCAAGATTTCTTGATTATTCCGTTTAAAAAATTAAAAATATCACTTTATTTTGCTCTATTATTATACAAGATTTAAAAGGAAGAATTGCTGGTTACTAATTCGTGTATTCTTATAATAAATACTCACCTAAGATGTAATATGGATTGAGCAATTTTAAGTATATTTTTACGATGGTCTAAAATATTTTGTCTAATGCTCGGTGATTTTATCGAAGACATCACGTTTGATGCAAGAAAGCTATCGTTTGATCGAGTATTTTTTTTGGCACTGTACAATAACATTTTTGCCTTCAATGATCTATAATTTCTCTTTTGTTTCATGTTTCGATCATGTGTTATTTTCGTCGAATTTTTATGTACGACTTTACAAGGAACAACCTTATATCTATCGGACGAATACGCGTCTGTTTTATTTAATAATTCGATACATTTTGCTTTTTTACTTCTATGAGAATCTGAATGATCGCTATTCTTTTCGTTTATTTCTCGTTTTTCAAAAAAATCATTTCTCTCGATATAATTATTAGGTATATGTTCGTTTGGCTTTTTATTTATTCCGTTGTTAGTTTCAACAATATTCGTATATTTTTCAATTCGCGTTTCTACGGTTTTTTCTTTCGTTGACTCGTCTATTATTTCGTCCAAAGAAAATGTTTCACCGACGCTGCATATAGAGTTCAAAACAGATTTACAAGAAGAACAAAAACTCGACCATTCTTCGCCGCTATTTTCATCCGTTACATTGTTAATGAAATTCTGCATTTTAAATAATTGCATACAAATTGTAAACATTGATCATTAAGATTCCATGTCTACCACCTGTTATATCCACAATAAAAATTATTTTCAAGCTACAATGTTTACAAAACAAAGATTAAAATATTTTGTCTATTATTAGTAAGAAAAGAAATTATAAAGTAACACGATTTTCGACGAACTAAATTTGAATTGCATTTTCGGGAATATGTGGAAAGAATGAATAATTTTCTATGACGATAAAAATGTTTTTGTTTAGTAAAGTGAAATTCGATTTATTAAAAATCATACTTCCATCATGTTTTTACGGCGTACAAATCGCGAATTTGCAAGTTTCAAATTTATTTGGTTATCGATACATTTACATTTCATTGAAATAATAAAGTTCTGGGTTGGTAACATTTTCTGTATCGCATAAAAAACTCGATTCCGTTCGAACAACGAACAATGTGCGTGTTTCATTAGGCAAAAATTTATAAAAAATTATCACTCGTTAGGTCAAATACATTACTCTAAAAAGTATCTCTGATATGGTTATTTTAAACACATGTATCACGTGCATTATCTGCTTTCTTTTGAAAAATACCAATGTTAATTATGTAACGTTGATAACATTTCTTTTGGAAATTGATAAAAATCAACGTAAAACGGTTCGTAACGTTTACATTTTATAATTCATAGTTTTGTCTGAAATGTTATCCGATCTTTGATCACGTGCTTGTGGAAAACCATTCATTCATATACCTACAATGAATAATTAGTATTCAATATGATACAAATGTTACATGTTAATAGTTTTACATTAAAATCGGCAGTCATTGCTGGTCTCTATGACACTACTACCGCATTGCAACATTCACGTTACACCACAAAGAGAACATAAAAAAACTTGCTCGGTTAATTGACTGACAAACTTATTCTTAATTACGTTTGAATGTTTTCTTCTTCGAATATAACTGTTTGACACGTATAATAATTAATAGTAAATAAAGAGAGAATTTCGGTTTTTTCTTTTTGTCATATCTATCTGTGATGTAACTATGAAATTGAATGGGAGTCGTGTCGGCTCAGGTCCCCAAAGTATCCTCCCTTCTTTCAACTATTTACAAAGTTTCCTCTTGAATTCATTCAAAAATACTGCAGTTACATATCTGACGTATCAATTAATACAGTTTCATAATTTTGTTTCACAAAAATACATTGCATTTCCTCAAACACCTATTGCTGCATACTGCCATCATTTTATTTGAAAAATGAAATAAATGTAACTAAAATGAACGATGTGCTTTTATAGAAAACTTGTTAACATCGTGCAGAGAAAATTATATAATACAAAACGTTTGCCACAAATTAGGCTTTCCATGAAAATGAGTTTGTTCTTTTCTTTTTTGACATTCGTAAATTTTCATCAATTGCATCGATTATAAATTTTGTCACGCACAAGTAACACCAATTAATTTTTTTCGTCAATTTTATCAACGTTATACTTTCACGATCTTACTATTGTTTCTTTTTTTTTAATATAAATGTTTAAATGTATCCTATTCTATCAATTAATTTTTAATAAGATATTCAGCACATTTCGTAAATCATAAAACGAGACACGTTTATTTAAATTAAATGTTATTATACACGGACGAAAATTAAATTTATACTATTACAAACTATACAATTTAATATATTTATATTTCGTGCTATTAACATATCGCTATTCAAATTATATACAAGACTGTTTAATATACATACATATACCATGTGCCGAATATCCCATTAATGAAAATTTTCAATCTACATTAATATACTCGTGATCTCAAATTTCGTTAAATCATGATACCGAAAGATATCTTCCATGATTTTAAGAAATTTGAAACGACACTTTCTACACGCATTCTTGTTTCTTTTTAAAAAGTTTATCAAATTATATCTGAATGTTACGATTAAACGATAGAACAGAAAATATATATTTATTTCGTTTATACTAGCAATTAGAAAATAAAATTAAGCAATAAGATTAGACAATATTTGAAATAATTAATGATATGAAGTATGGCTGGAAATAATGTACAGCAATAACATAAAAATCTATTAACATTTTCCGGATGAATGATATTACTATCTACTTAAGTAAGCATAATAACCAAAGTATAGTTCCGTTTAATATTTGCAGAAAATGATCTTTTCAGATTCACTGTTCATCTACTTTATACATTGACGCATAGTTTCTTTAGCATTGAAAAGTAATAGAGTACATCTGGATTTATTTTCTAATTAAAATTGATTTTCCTCGTTTCGATTAAAAAAGTAGTTATAAATATTATACAATTATTGTACCAAAAGAGAAAGAGTATTTCAGATCGTGTTTTTTAAACTTTATACCTTCGTTTATATATATCAGACCGAATCAATAGAAACAACTTTGCAATTTGTAATAAATGTTGAAACAATGTCATCAAATTCATAATGAACATTAAAATTAAAACATAATTGAAGAACAATCGCTATAACATGGCATACTACTTTCAATTACAATTCAAGTTACGCTTTTTTCGTTAACCCTTCGATGTTAATATCGCGATGCGTTATACATATATATACATAGGTTTCTTTTGTTTACGTATGTATTTTTCGTATATAAAAAAAATCTGTATTGTAAATTATCTTCTTTGAATATACTGTAAGTATGTAATGTGTACTATGTGTTTCTTTTATTCCACATAGAAAAAATATTATTTCTATACTTTCATTTTTCATTTCATTGGTTTAGGCGGTGTATAGAATTTAAAAATCAAAATTTCTTAAAAACTGTAACTTAAAAATATAATTGGATATTTTTTACAAATTTGTACAATATTGTACAAGCACCGAAGGGTTAAACTGTTTCCATCTTTCTGCATGCTTGAACAACTTTTTGCAAACAATGCTTCCACATATAAAGACACGCGATCCTACAATTACTCGTCATTGAATTTATGATTGAATTTTTATCGCAATAACCATATCAGAGTTAAACATTTTTACGATAAAAAGAGAAAGCTTTTATTTTTATAGAAAAGTACGAAAGAAATTGTCGTTCATGTTTAGAACATTAAATATTTTACGTTGAACTTACTTGACATTTAATAATTACCTTTCGTGTTGCTATAAAATTCGTCGTGAATTATTTATGTACGGACAACTTGCACCACTGTGATAATGTACAAAAACTTGATTCCATAATCGTATTTAATATAAAATATTCATTCGTAGAAGTATATTTATTGTTTCTCTAAATTTTATATCGTGCGCGTTTATGTAATCATTTTAATGAAATGTAATGCAACTAACAAGATAATAAAATACTGCCACTTTAACATCATTCGATGTGTGTTTAAAAATAATACATTGAAAGGTGAAATAGCTCTATTACTTAATCAACTTTAGAAACGATTTCACTTCTCTTATTTTTACGCATATTTTTGATCAAATAAATGTCAACAATAAAGGACCACGTATTATTACGTTATAACGGTTGGTGCATCGCGTCCAGTAAATTCACGTAATTTACTTAACTCTAGCGCAATATTAACCAATGGCTTAAGAACTTCTTGAGCATCTTTCTTTAAAGATGTCGGATCATCTTCAAAGCTATCAACATATACACGTATAGTAGCTCCAGAACTTCCTGTACCAGACAGACGGTATATTATACGAGAACCATCTTCAAAGAGTATTCGTAATCCCTGTTGTGCAAAATTGTATAAAAAAAACTTATGTTCTTAAAGTACCGTATTTTTAAATTACTGTATGCATAAATTATGATTTATAAAATCATATAATACCTGTTTACTAGCTTTGCTTCCATCGACAGAATCTACGTAGGAATAATTGTCACCTAATTTGACAATGTACGTTTTAGTTTCGAATGCCAGTTTCGAACCTAGAAACTCGGGTTTTTGTATTTCTGTTTCAATGTACTGCATCATTTTATTTGCCCCTTCAGATTCACAATTTTCGTAATCATACCTAACATACACAGTAGCAATTATAAAATTGAAATGTAATCTATTATAATGGAATTTTTTACACACACACATACGCACACACCTTGTGAAGAAGTTCCTTCCATACGTTTGCCAATGATTTAACAATATTTCTTCTACGGATTTCCCAAGACTTGCAATTACACTAAGCCATGCAAGGCATGCCCATATTCCATCCTTTTCGCGAATATGGTCAGAACCAGTGCCAAAACTTTCTTCTCCGCATATTGATAGATGCCCAGCATCCATTAAATTACCTAATACATCAGAGTAAAGATACTACTTTAGACATTTTAATTGAAAATCAGCAAAAAGCTCAAACAAACTTTAATACATATGAAATATATTACGCTGAAATTAACATACCAAAATACTTCCAGCCTGTGGGTACTTCGAACAGTTTAATACCGTTCTTGGTTGCAACCCTATCTACAGCAGCACCTGTTGGCATTGATCTAGCATACCCTTTAACACCAGTCCTTTTGAAATATGGTATAGAATCTAAGTTAGCAGCTAATACTGCCAATGAATCCGAAGGTGTAACAAAGAAAGCCTTTTTGCCTAATATCTAAAGGAACAAAAGGAAAACTAAATTTATACATGTTCTAGCTGTATTCCTTATAATCATTTAATAATTCAATGTACCATATTTCTATCCCCATCTCCGTCAAAAGCAGCACCAAAATCGTATGGACCATCTTTAATGGCATTTACTAAGTCTTTGGCGTATGTTAAGTTAGGATCAGGATGTAGTCCTCCAAAATCTTCTAGGGGATTTGCATTAACGATGCTTGAATTATCGAGACCTAATTCGCTACTAAATATTCGTTTAATGTATGGTCCGGTAACTGTAAACATGATTACACTATTCTAATACTGAATATATTTCTAAGATAATTAAATGTCTATTGTTACATAATAATTTGAATACATAGCATAAATAAGCATAGTACAAAAAACACAATATTTGACCTTAACTTGTTTGTACTATACTTATTTATACTGCTTGTATTAATTCGACGAGCAATACATATTATTTACTAATTTGCACACACCTCCATTCATTCCATTAATAAGAACTTTGAAAGGAGGTCGATCGGCACTTCCCTGAAGTAACTTCTTGATATTTGAGAAATCAAAAATGTCTTTCATAAGCTCTAAGTAATCATTTACAGAGTCTATCACATCTACTGTAAATTGGTTTCCATCAACTTGAACAGTAGTACTCTGTATCTTATCTATGTCTATATTTATATCAGATGCAATCTTATAGCTTTTAAGTGACATGGTGATCTCATAAATTTTATTCGTGACATTATCTGGAGCAGGGCCACCATTGTCACAATTAAATTTTATACCAAAATCAGCGTTGGGTCCACCAGGATTATGAGACGCGGTCAAAACAATCCCTCCTTGCGTTTTATATTTTCTTATTATAGTAGACACAGCTGGAGTTGAAAGTATACCGTTTTGACCGACTATCAGTCTTCTCACCTAAAGCGTTTTAAGAAAATACTGTCGTAAGAGAAACATAAAATAATACCGACTTTAGACGTTGTGCTAGATTCGACGATAAAAAGTTGGCCAAATTTATACAAGCGCAAGGAAACGAAATATATTCATTTTAATGATAGAACACAAAGCATCGTTGACCCATTTACGCAATCTTAAATTTTTCTATTGTTATCGTCGGCAATGTATTAAAATTAAATCGTATGCGAACTGATAAAATGCAAAATAACTTACTCCATTGGCTGCCGCGATCCTGATAATTTTTCCGACTGCCTCTTTACCATAATACCTTCCATCACCACCAAGGACTAAAGTACTACCAGGTAATTGATCACCAAGGGCCTCGAGTGTAGCTTGAACAAAATTTTCCGTATAGTGTTCTTGCATAAACACTTTCACGGCTTTTCGTAACCCGGAGGTACCCGGCTTCTGGCCCTCGTACACCCGGGTTTCTACAATTTTACTTGTCACTGCACTCGACATGTTTAAAAAGTATCGCAGTTGACGTAACGTTTACTGAAACAAACAATACGACCGCTTGTAACCTAATCTGATCGACAGCGAGGAATCAAATCCGAGAAGAATTTCATAACACGTCCTCGGCGTCTGTTAGCAGACTGAACTTTGTCTGCCAATGACACACAAGGGCACGGGTCACCATCTTGAAACATCGCGCCCGCGCTATAGCATCGACATCGACTAATAATATCGTTCTTCGGCAAGATAAATCGTTCGAATACAAAAAAAATATTCTTATAGCGTAACTTTGATAATTGAACGCCGTCGTTCGATAGAAAATCTCAATGATAGATGTTCGTATTTATCAAATATAACATATTATGATCAATATGAATCACATAAGCTAAATAAATAAAACTGTTAAATTAAATTTGTCTCTGGAGCTGGGACTACTTATCAAATTCTTCTGTATTCGTATATTTGAACATTTCTGTGATTCAAATTTTCGACAAATACAATTCGAATATTTTGTCCTTTTTTTCAAATTTAACTTTAACTAATCTGTTTATATTTTTCAACGGTAGACGATTCTCGAACGATTATACGCAATATTGAGCTCTATCATACTCTAATGAAAGACGCAAACAAGCTGCTATATTTGTACATGTTTACATTATAATTGGGCGTAATTAATTAATTTAATTGAAATCGCTGTCACGGTTTATCCGTGTGTATGATCCAAATCAGCTGACGATAAGAATATTTAAACATACTATTAATATCTTCGTTACTTAAATAGCGATACTTCCAGCGATACTTTCTTATTTAAACAATATTTTAATATTCAAATCTGATCCCATATACAAATTATAAAAGTTCACATTAACCTATTGTTAATCTTCGTATAGTCCACTCAATATGAATCACGTAAATCGAATAAGTAAATATGCCAAATTGACATTGTCTTATCGTCGGAGTTTTAAACAAACAAGTCTAATGTACAAACTTTTTCCAAAGAATTCTCTATTCATGAAATATTGCTTTTTAGTGATGAAAAATATGTAACAGAATTTGAATTTAATAGTATGTATTAAATTATGAAGCGTGTGCGATATTGTAAATGAAATTAAATAAAAATAACATCGCAAAAGAAACGTGCGTTTAAATGAATGAATAAATTCCATTACGTCACAAAAGTATATCGTGTTTTATTATTCGATATAAATTTTGGGACTTTCGTCTTAATAATACACAACAATATGGGAAAGATATTGAAAATAAAAATTATACACGCCCGTAGATGAGCGTTGCTTATTACGATGAACAGTGATGAGTAGTAGCGAAGAAAAATGAAGAGGAGGGAGCTTGTTATGTCAAGGATGTCCGATATAAGTACGCGGGTTTACAAAACAGATACTTAGTTGTTTAAATCAACGGTTTTCCTGAAGTTTCTGTCGCGAAGCGTGTAGATCTTGAAAGAGGGTGTTATTTTTGAAATTTTTGAAATTTTCTATCGCTGATACAAGAATCGAACTACGCTTCGAAAATAGATTAATTTTGAAACTACGTTATTAAAATCGAAAACACTGTTTAATTTCATTTTCGTGATTCTGTGCGTTCAAAAAAATTTACTTAGAAAATATTACTTCATTTCGTTTAATTTTTTACCCGCAATTTACTATGAACGTTAATTTAAAAAATGTTTTAAATGTTGTGTGAAGTATTCTCAAACATACTATTAAATATCTTATTGGGTAAGTAAATTTTTATGCTTTTAATATTAAAATAATTTTTGTTTAATAATATAAATTTTTTTATAATAGTTTCATCTGTTTGATGTGATCACAAATTAAATGTAATATGCATAAATCACAGAATGATTGGAACATTGACAAACATAACAGTGAATCAGAAAGTACACCGTTACTTTCTTCTGAATCTCATACGAGCGTGGAATCAGTTTTATTTCAAGACTCTGAAACCAGTGATTTAGATTGTACTCCATCCAACACTTATCTCAAGTACTAATTTCTATTATTATTATTGAATCAGTATCGCTATTAATTTGTTATTAAATAGCTTTATTAGTAATATCGCTAACAATAATTATTTACCGGTAGTGTCTTTTATAGATATGGTAGCTTAGAAGCAGGTAGTGTTAATTCTAATGCTACTGTAATACCAAAGAGACCACCACCCCTTATTCAAGATCATGCTTTAGTTATACCACTATCATTAAATACGTCTTGCCCATTAAATGTAACACAAGACAGATGTTATGAAATTCATAATACTGATCTGGTGAGAATACCACAAGCTATATAAAATTGCATGTTTTGTTACAAGACTAACACCTTTATGCCTACCAAGGTTAAATAGTTTACAAATGTACATGTACTAATTGTAATTATTTATCTTAAATTATATTTCAATTTATGAAACATTTAAAAGTAACTTATATTGAAAAAAATTGTTCTTAATGTAAAAATTATAATAGACAAATGTATTCGGGCATTTGAATGTCGCTAAAATTTTAATATGATTTTAATGAAACTTGTTATACCTGTTTTATCAGATATTTAGTAATGAAAAATATGAATCAAATAACAAACAATCTTTGTTGAATGATTTTACAAGTAAATTCTTATCTCGATCTTATTCGCTGGAAGAAGAAAATACATGTAAGGATACCAAACCAAAGCAAAGCTCTTTGGTCACAGTGTAAGTACCTTTAAACATTTACAATAATTAATATTCAATTATACTGTATAAAAAGCAATGTTATTTAGGTTTAGTAAAGTTGTATACGTTATAGAATATTTGATAGAGAAAACTACTTATCAATGTCATTTTTGTTAACACAATGATAAACGTAATGTTAACTTTGGCACTGTAGCATAATGTAATATTAGTTACAAATTATTATTAGCTATCATGTTATCATCAAGAAAGGGTTCTGGTTCAATAGTTTCAGCACTGTGTTCTGAAATCTAATCACGTTCATAAATTTTTTGTTATCAATCGCCAGTTATTCTTTTTAGTAGGTTGATGACGAGAGAAAAATGAAATCTTGCATCAGAAATGTCTATATGCATTTTGAACACGATAGATCGACGTATACTTCCTTTAAGCTTAAGATCGTTTCCCTCAATCTGGTACTTCATATACTAAATATGTATTGCGATAAAAAAAAAAAGGTATCTATAAAAAGTATACAGATAACACAATTTTTGTGTGCCTTTGACCTATCCGTGAAGATAAAATAGTAACCGTGGGTGTTAGCTTAAATTTTATAAATAGCATATCGCTTTATCTTTTAATCTATTGTATTGCATAAAAATACAATTTTCTTTCACCATGATTACATTTTTTACACACTTTTTTATAATATTCCTACAAAAATAAAATCTAATGGAACTAGTACGATCAAACGCTATCAACGTACAGAAGGTACATAGAAATTTGTAATTTTTTTTTGTAAAATTCATTGCACTTACTTACTCGTGTCTAAATTCCATTTGTCGAGACTTCCTCAAACAATTGTGCATTAAACTTCGTGGAAACTCGAGTACGTTTTACATTGGTATTACGTTTCACTATTATCAAAATCATCAGGCTTTTCAATTATTATTTAAGGATCGGATACATGACAATTCGTTTCCACATCTTAAAAGCACGCGCCTCCGCTAATGTACCCCCCGATAGAAAATATGATAAATAGAAAATCCGAATCATAGACGTCGATATGTTTTTTTCGTTCGTTAAATGTAGGAATAATATCGCAAAATCCCGTGGCCGCATGCTTTTAAGATATGGAAACGAATGAGAATACGAAGTGAACGCGGTTACCGGTCGCTCACGTTTCAACGACCATCGGGTGGTTGTGTCTGCTGTACAGTATATTCACATTAGAAGGGGTTAGTGCTCCGTCGGTTGCCTGGGCAACAGACGACCACCCGAAAGGTCAATGGCCGCAGCTAGCGCCTAACCGTACCAGCCATTTTTTGGCATTTTCGCCTCACCTATGCAACCTTCATTTACTATATACTTATGCACTTTCCTAATATCCAATAGAAAATTAATAAATTCGTAACCTCCGTTTTCGTTTACTTCGAATGATACATTACATATAGAAAATATATACCATTTCCAATAAATCCTCCACTTACACCGTTCTGAAGCTTTCCGCGGAAATTCAATTATGCATATAAGGGAATGTGGACAGTTTCGATTAATTTTTGTTACTTAGAAGCCTTTCAAAGGTTGACTAAAGTATCTAATTTAGTATAAGTAACAAAAAAGAAGCATAACACAATTAGGGGGGGAAAAAAATTGTTATAGTTCATTTTTTCGTAATTTTAAAACACCTTTTCCACCTTTTTCCCTGTCTACTGGTTTACAGCCATATATTTTTTATGTATCTCTAGGTTTTCGATATGGAACACTATATTAGGATCATCTCTGTTAACAATACCTTGGGGAATTCAAATGGCTGGTTTCCTACCTGGTATTATTCTTATACTTATAATGAGCGGTTTATGTTTATACACTGCTTACTGTCTTCTTCTTGTACATAAATATCATGGTAAAAAAATATTTATTTTTTGTATACAACATAAAAATAGAATATTCAAGACTCTAATGTAACAGTAAAGTTGTGACAATTTACTGTTTAAGGTGGACATAAGAGTATAGAAGTGATTCAACTGAGCCGAATATATTTAAATAAGTCTGCAGAATATGTTGCTAAAATTTTTAGTATTACCGTTTTATTGGGAGCAACTATCGCTTATTGGGTACTGATGTCTAATTTCTTATACAACTCTGTAAATTTTATACATGGTAAATGTGAATTAAAATTTTTATTTTTTGTCTGATGTTCGATACATCGTATGTTGAAAGGAATTTCCATATTTTTTTATAGATAGTATAGTCGGAACAACCGAATACTCTGCTGTTGACAATACCTCTTATCCATCAGAAGGTATATATTTTATTTACAATATATATATATAACTGATTTGCATATATAAATATGTACGGAGAACTTAAAGAGAGCTCAATTTTATTTATTTTAATTGCAGTATTGTGTCCAAAGAAAACAATGCATAACAATACCGGCAATATAATCCATGAGAATACATACAATTCTTTGGGACCAATTTGGGATTTATATAAAACAGTTCCTGTCTTTCTTGGTTTATTGATATTTCCAATTTTGAATTTTAATAGTCCTACGTTCTTCACAAAATTCAATTCCCTTGGTGAGTAAAATATATATTTTTTTTTTTTCTTTATAATAATGTCTGCATTGCATGTAAATTATTTGCCAACTTGATATTTTTTTTAGGTTGCAACAAACATATGACTTTCTCCTATAAATTTATATCTTACTCTGTCAAATTATGAACACACTCTATGTATCTCGCAGGAACTGCATCGATCATATATTTGATTACCTTTGTCTTGGTGAAATCAATATCGTGGGGCATTAACATGGATGAAATGGAATGGAAAATAAATTGGTCATTGAAATCTTCGTTTCCGGCTCTTTCTGGCATGCTGGCAATGTCATTTTTCATTCATAACATCATAATTACTGTAATGCAAAATAATCGTGATCAGAACAAAAATGTAAGTAATTTCAATTCCGCAGATTGGTCAGTTTTGCAAATTCGTTGAGAGACTTTGCTCTTATGTTGCAGGGAAGAGACCTTTCTATAGCATATCTTCTCGTTACACTGACTTATATCATTGTGGGCGTAGTATTTTATATATGTTTCCCACTCAGCAAATCATGTATCGAAGATGTAAGTAAAATGTTAAAATGTTTCAACACGAAGTGCACTCAATATTTTTCAACAAAAATATTAAGCAAAACTTGTGTTTCCCTTACAGAATTTCTTGAACAACTTTCAAAAATGGAGTGGTTTGACGGTGGGTGCTCGAATTGTTTTACTTTTCCAATTATTGACCGTTTATCCGTTGCTCGCGTACATGCTACGCGTTCAGTTGCTTTCTTCGATATGTAAAACATCCAACACAGGCTGTATTGTCTTAGTTAACAGTGTCTTGGTATGCATATGTATTCTATTTGCAGTTTTTGTACCATATATTGGTACAATAGTACGATACACTGGTGCTATAAGTGGCTTCATCTATGTCTTTACTTTACCAAGTTTATTGTACTTGGTAATTCTGAAGCAACAAAATAAACTGACAATACTTTGTACACTTTTGCATATAAGTATACCAATATTTGGCTTTTTAAATCTGGTAGCTCAATTTTTTATCATAGAATCATAAGTTATGTTCAATTTTGTATTTTGAATAATACTAAATGAACAATTTTGTTCCTGACAGTATAATTGAAGAGAATATAGTATGTTTGGATGTTGATTATAAAAAGAAAGAACATGCAAATCAAAATGCCATCCTTTTTATATGAAAGTACTAGAAGTATCGTTTAGACACTAGAAAATAAACCATGTATTAATTTAATACCATAAAAATATTTTAATATTAATATTTTAATATAGATATGTATATTAATTATTAATTATGTAAGTTGAAAATATATTTATTTATTCATTTGTTACAAAAAGTTTTATTAGAGTATTTACTACAGAATTTCAAACGTTTGTACTGTTGTTTATCTCGCATAATTTATTATGTAATATTTATAACAATAATAAATACCTTGTACTCATATCTAAGAATAAACATATAATTTCAAGTCCTTTTTGAAACTTTATAAATCCAAACGGTATCGACACCTTGACCGACTATTTTTAGTGCGTTCATATTAGGAAGTGGAAATCTACAAGCAACTATCACACAGTTGTTTTGTAATTCTGTCCTGAATTTCTTTTCTATGTCTTCCATCTAGAATAATTGTAGTATACAAATTACTATGCATTTAATAAATAAAACTTTATGAAATATTCAAAGAAAGCTTACCATTTGATCAACACCGAATAAAACAACATTATCATAATTTCTTAAATTATACTTCCATAGATTTTGGTTTATAAAAGATGTTTGCGACGATAATCCTGTAAGTAGGGCTTTCAATCTGGAATACCATACTAACCAAGAATTTAATTCAACGCCATGAGCTTTGAATCCAGCTTTCGCTGCAGCAAAAACCTATTCGTAGAATAATGTAATATACACATCTGGATAAATTATATCTTTATAAATTATTATAAATTAATAAAACAATTACTATGCGTCCATCTCCGCTTCCAAGATCAACTACAGATCCACCGCGTCCATCTAAGGCTTGTAATACATTTTGTACTTGTTGCCTGGTGGCTGGCACGTAAGGCAAACATATTTTACGAAACGCAGGGCTCACAAATGGAATACATATTATACTGATAGCTGTTGCAATACCTCCTAGAAAGTAATACACATATAACAGAACGTGTTACAAAGATAGCGATGTAATTTACTTTTCACCTTATTACCTGTTATCCCGATAAGGTATAAACCAAGTTTCGAAGCTTTCCGTGGTGTGGTGGTAGTATTACTTAAGATGTAACTTATTTCATTAACCTCTGCTAAGTAAATTGATGCTTGATTAAAATTTTTGAACATAAAAGAAACTTCCTTCCAAGAAAATTATAAATGCTAGCATTGTAATCTATAATTTGTAATTGATGAATCTTACACATTTTGTATGTTTAATATTTGTTAAAAATACAAACGAGAAAAGACCCCCTTTTAGATTCACTAGCCGCGAGTAATCCACATGGACGAAGAAGATAATTTCAAGATGGTATATGGTATCTTCGTTAGATAATCTGGTAACTCGGGATTAGATATGTATTCAACTTCTGGCTGCAGTATTTCCCTAGCAATGAAAATAGATTTTCAAATTTACGTAATTGAATATAACACCTGTGATTATTTTTTTCAGAAATTTTGATAAGGCATTCATCAAATAACGAATAATAAACTATGTCAATTTCAAGTGATTATAATTACTTATTTTTTAAGAATGTGAAGTTGAAGAAAAGTCAATATTTAAGATTCGGAACTTGATTACATCATTAAATTTGAAAATTCGAACTGAAGGAACTATTTTTAAAGAGAGGAAAACAGGGGAATACGTTTCGAATTTTAAATTTACAAATGTTTGTATAAATACAGTATTTGAAATTTCATAATTTTCCATTATAACAAAAATAGAGTTTTACAGCAATTTATAGTTTATAAACCATTACACACGGAACGTAATTGTCTGCAGTTCTTCTGGTTGGTCCTTTTTTGAACTTTTTTTAGAAAACTTCTAATCGTTCGGATGCATCAGTAATTAATACCAAGATGGCTGCCCTGACCACCTGAATTAGGCAATGTCTTTTAGGTACAGTGATACTCCACGCGTGTTACGATCGACGAGCATCATGATGATAAACTTTCTATTTCAGTAGATTTAATTTAAAGAAATTAATGTACAGATGTTTTAATTAAAGTGTAATTTATTTTATACGAAGTTTTCGTAAAAAAGGAACATATAAAGAAACATTGTAAATTTTACAATACCAATTTGTACATATCTATTCTTAATTTACCTCGATCATTTAAAAAGGAATATGGAAGGGGAAATGAGGACTTGATTCCGTGCTGAAAAAGAATTAAAATGTTTACATTAGAGACGAAATAAATTAAGTTTTACCAACGTGGCAATAATCGAGAATGTTAAAACTATATTTACCCTGTCATCGGACAAATTCTGCCATTGCAATCAAAAGTGTCGATGTATGCGATATCATCAGAATTGAGTTTAAAGTCAAAGACATTGGAGTTTTCAGCAATTCGTGAGTTTGTAACTGATTTTGGTATTACTATATGTCCACGATCCAGCTTAAATAGATTTAAGAAACGTTTTGTTATACCGTATCTAAACAATTTCACACGTAAGTGTCAGCAATTGTCAGAAAATGTTGTATACCTGATATCTGATTAGAACTTGAGCAGGTGATTTATTATATTTCTTTGCAAGTTCACACAACTTTTTGTCGTCCATCAGTTTCGGATCGTCTGGTTTAGCCCATGGTCTGTCCGGAGATCCAAGGGGACTGTATGCAGTAATGAGAATACCCCTCTCTTTACAGAAGTTCGAGAGCTTCTTCTGATTTAGGTATGGGTGGCATTCAATCTATAAATACACAAATATTATAGACATGTACCGATTGAACATTAGTAGACTTCGAAATTGGTACTTACTTGGTTTGTAACTGGCTTAATGGTACAATTTTTAAGCAAATTTTCTATTTGTTCAGAATTAAAATTGCTAACACCAATGTTCTTAGCGAGTTTCTTGGAAACCAAACCTTCCATACCCTTCCATGTGTCTAGATAATTTGTATTGCTTAGGGCTATAGAGTCATCAGCATTCTTTGGGAATAATTCATCGCCTTCTTTATAAGCCATTGGCCAATGAACAAGGTAAAGATCCAAATATTCAAGACCCAAGTCAGCCAGTGTCTTTTTAATGGCAGGTTCGACCGACTCTGTTTTATGGTAAGTGTTCCATAATTTGCTCGTAATAAAAAGGTCCTGCCTTTTTACAACACCTTCTTCAATTTTTGCTTTAAGAGCAGCACCAACTTCCTTTTCGTTCCCATATACGTGAGCACAATCAATGTGGCGGTATCCAATATCTATTGCGTACTTAACAGCCTGAGTGACTTCTCCGGGTTTGGACTAAAGAATAATAATTGTTTGTTCAAGAATATAATTTATGATGTTACACAATATTACAACATTTATTTTCTTTAAGTAATTTCTTAAATGCTGTATCATCTATATAAACTTTGATAAAAAAAAAAGCTAATCTTTCGTTCCATATGGATTATCATTCAATGAACATAACCGATGAAAGTTTCTCTATAATTATATAATACTATAAAACTGTATGCAATGCAAATACTTATTTAATTTAATATAATAACTTATAAAAAAAAAAACGCATATTTCATGTTTTTGACACATATTTTTGTTCGCATATTTCAAATTTGAATACATCGAATGTATACAAGGATTGTTGAAATGAATGAAAACATGGAAACTGCGACTCTGAGATGACCTTGTTAGATGTATATTACGAACGCTATTACACCGTTCATTAGTAGATTCGAGAATATTGCAGAACATATTACGCTTTAGATTATAGAATATTACAGAATTTTTAAACATGAAAATATATAATTACGAATGAAATTATAACGGTTTTAAGTGAAAGAATAAATAGCATGATATAGCAATACTTTTCTATTTTTGTTGAAATAGGCGGAACATAATTATCTGAATTATATTACTTTGAACATTACTCACTTTCCATGTGCCCAAACCGAAAGCCGGTACCTCATTGCCGTTGTAGAATTTCAATACCGGTACGTTTAAAACCATTCTGATTGCTTTTATATAATTTATTGCTTGAATCACAGAAATCTTTTAACACAATCGTAGCACTTTTCGAGATTCTACGAGACCACCGTTATGCCTTAATGCACAATGCCGGTAGATACACCTAGCGAGCTCCTTTTATAAATGTTCCTACATCAATCCCTCTCCCCGCTGCCCCTGATTACAGACATGTATGTATATCAAAGAATGAAACTTGCTCTTCTCATGATTTCGTGATTCATTAAGTACATTAGATTTCATTTTTTATTTAGTATTCTTTCTATTACCTAAATCAATAAGATTATATGACTTAGAGTTATATTTCGTTTGTACCCAATAATTACATTCAGACAGAAAATGTAAGGCGTACAGTAAAGGATCCATTGTATGTGAAAAACATAAAACTTTTCCGTTTGACATTCTTTATTTTCCAATATGAATCATTGGGACGAACGAATAAAATTTCTTTACGAATTAAAATTGAATTCAAAATTCAAAGTTAGCGGCATGCAATTAGAAACTGAGATAAAGGAAATATTGTAAGTAATTATATTCAGATATCACTGATCGAATGATTGTTTGGAATTTTACAGATTTAAATGATTCGTGCTCGATATACAGTACGAAGAAATTGACACAGAAATTAACCAAAACTATAAGACGAAAATTAGAAAAACTTACACAAGAGTATGGAACCCTTTGACTCCCGAAAAGTATACTGCCCTGTTTAGGTGTCCCTTCTACGCATGCGTTTGAAAATTGAAACACACACGCATATACCAGTGCTTTTACACAAGAATTTCTTTGTGTCGTATATTCCGGTCGTAATCCCCGCTGCCGCGTTTAAATTCGCTAATAAGAAATGGGCCCTATGAAAAATTACGGGGTCCGTTACAAATAGCAAGGGACGGTTGTGAATCCCTTGACCATCAACAATGAATGAATGAATGAATTACCGAGTATTAACAATACTCTCCCGCTACAAGAAACGGATCGTTCCTGTGAGTGTGTTTTAACCATGTTTCGCACCACGGTCCATGCTTTCCTGTGAGTATGCAATGTATACGCCGTTATAATAGCGACAAGTATGTTGCACTATATATTAAGCAGTTGATATTCAAGTTGTCCTGTGGTATTCTATGTGTTTTTATCGTACGATATCTAATCGGGCTAAAAATTGATTGCCTCTTAACCCCTCGATGCTCGAGTGCTTTTCCACATTGCCGGCAAAAACAATCGAGTTTTTGTTTTGCCTTGTATTTGAGTTTAATAGAATCATCAAATTTCGAACTAAAGAATAAAGATCCGAATTAGACACGATGAAACAACTATCGAAATTAAAGTGGGTAATACAAAGAATGTAATGTAAATGTAAATTAAATAAAATCTACCAATGAATCGTGTCGATTAAGAGGTTAAGATTCTGACATTTGCACCAACAAAACTGGATGAACGTTTCAGATAATTACACATTAAATTTCGCAGGAAATAAAACATCAGAAAAATATTTAAATACGCGAACATTATTTTTTAATCGATAATATATTTGATTTGAAATCGGTGCACGGTTATCGATCGGTATTCTTCCTTTCGTTCAAACGTCTCTTTGTTTAATGTTTATACATAGATAGATGTATTTTTCATAAACAAAGCAATCGCGTGATCTTAAAACGTATAAACCATTACATAAGAAACAAAGCTTATTTATGAGGTTCGCATATGGAAGAACAATAGTAGTGTTTAAACAGTTTGATAAGAGTAGTTCTTAAATATTTTTAATTAAAATATTTAATTAAAATTATTAATAATTCGAACGTTAAGCAATTTTAACAGCAGAAGTGTCCGTTCTGCCCATATCGCTACATGGTTATGCACTTTCGCGTTTAAATACGAATTCGAATCTTGCAAAACGTGTATCGTCTAGACTATACAAAATCGATTCAAGAGGTTCGCGATTAAATTATAATTATCACAGAAATATATACAAACATAACATGCTTCGTGCAATATGGATCCAGGGCTGTTTCGTTGAAGACTCGTACAGTCGCTTTTTCAGTAATGTACAGTCCAGTATGGCGAGGATCAAGGTCATTGCACTGCTTCGAGTTCGTGTACAATCGCATAGTCGTTCATGAAATACATAACTTCCGAGAACTATAATTCCGTTTCTTCATGGGTTAGCTCGTGTAATTAACCGTCGATCGGTGTTTGGAAAATTACAGTTGTTTTCGAAATGTTTTTGTTTATGTTCGGCCGATAGAATCGCGTTATCTATCGTACGAGACGTTCTCTCTCAAATAATCCTACAATATTAGGCCAGCTATTTATTTCTAAAGTAATAAATTTAATTTACTTTAGTTTATCAATCTTCAGATTTTAATTCTGTATTTATGTCACGGATTAATGTAGACCAATGAATTCTGTGCCATTACTCGAGATTTGTCGTCGTTTGATTGACTTAATGCCACATCCTCGCGAGGAAGTTATTCGTCAAGAAGACAAGAGTAATGCGTTGCTAATGTCTTTGTAACTTTCATTTTGCCTGATTTAAATTTGCACTATTTATTCTGTCTGCCCATTCGAAAAATCTATTATTCGAATTACGATTATTCCAAGAAGCTTCTTTCCTCACAATCAGTCGCTGAGACGATTTCAATGAACCGTTTGTTGCGTTATCTAAAAAGCAATTCCGTAAGTCGTTTGCTTTATTGGCAAGTAATGTACGTAAAGAAATATACCGTATCTTTGGTTTTGATACCGAGCCAATTAAAGAACTACCATTTTTCATTACGTTATACAAATACGTTTCATAAGTACAGTTGTTTTACGATGTAAAATATCATACTTCACTTCAAATACTTTTACGCAAGAGGTGACGGTCAATTTAACACGTTGATTGCCACGGTGGTCATTGGTGACTAATACTTCAAACATACAACGTTTTTTTAAAAAGCTTACATCCTGATGTTCTTTAAATTCCTTTATTCGTTGTTCATTTTTTGAATCACCGTTAAAAATGTACACGATGATTTGTGAGGGTTATCATGCTCTTGATGGCGCCGCGGTCATCTTGGATTTTAACGAGAATTCACGATTTCCAGGAATTGTTAGCTACAATGCGCTAGAATCGATGATATCAAATCGAAATTAAAGTTGCATCGTCATTTTTGCACGTTTTAGCGTAACTGTAGTATTCGAGAATTTACAAAAATGGAGATAGGTAACTCAACGTTGCGACAATATGTGAAATTTACGCGCAAACGATGTAATCAACGGTTTCACGGAGCGAATTTATTTCTATATTTGAAGTACGTGACCGTGAATGCGTCGATAACGAAGCTTTCCAATCAGGCTACCGTTTTTATTGAGTTATCGTCGTTCGTACGGCGTGTCTCGATTTACCAAACACCGTGATACGCGGAAAATTTAAGGTTAGGTTCGCGTATGACTTATCGCAACGACTTGACGAATGTTTACGTACTTCCGTACTTTCGAGACTCGTACAGCGTTTGACATAATAAAAGAATCACTCGAAGAACGAATATTAATTTCAATATCGAATTTTATAAAAATCGCTCCAGGATTATTTCGAACGACTAGAAGAATTACTCTCTCAGCGAGCAAAAAATTAGGTTTAACTTCGGTTTTTTATCTCAAGAACAATGTGTTGATTAATAACAGTCATTATCTTAAATACCTTCGAAGGCGTGAGAAGTTATTAAAGGGGCTATCGTATGGCGATGACAATTTTTTTTTTTTTTGGTACAAGCGCAACTATTCCTATAATTTTTAATTTATCTTCTGATAGCAACCATCGAAGCAAACACAACGAAGCGTGCAACATTAAGGCCGAGGACTAGAATGTTACTCGGAGACATTGTTCGAAATATACATATAAAATTGACTATCGTCAGGTGCAATGCTGTTGCTATGCTCTTGCAAACCACAATGATGTTTACCTGTGCGAATATCTTATGTACAAAAGTAATGAACATTGCACGCGATAAAAGAAACATAATCAGATTAGTATCGATCGATCGATCGTGAAAATATTGACAAAATTCTTATCTGGAACAAAATTTCGAGCAACAAAAGACGATTGAATGTTTATCCGTTACTCTTTGAATAAAAATCGAATAACAGGAATGTTAATTAGCGTGTATGGTTGGTCAATAGAAAATCGATAGTGGTTATTGCAGGTTTAACGTCTATAAACTATGTATTTATGGTGTGGGATGGGGCCCGTGAAGGGGACATACCTGGTCCAGAGTTAAGAAGGGGGGCCCCCGGTAACCAAAGAAGAGAAATCGGAAATTTCCAGAAATCTCAGAAAATAGTCATATATTGAGTGGAGAGCATTTTTAGCTACAATTCGCGATATGAGATTAAAATAAAAACAAAATGACCAATGGAGATGGAAAGGGGCCCAAAGTAAGTGTTATAACTGATAAAGTTTGTCTTAGCGTGGAAGTATTGAAAGTCTTGAAAATCTGGGTACGAGTTTATTTTCAGTGTTGTGGACACTTATGGCGGAGAAGCATTGCACTTTAAACGTAGAGAGGGGACGGGAACGATGGAAAATACCAGTGAGAGGGCCAGGCGTTGCAAACGCGTGGCAAAAAATTCCATCCGTGCGCGGGGAGTGGACATAGAGCAAGCAATTTCGCTCGTTGAGCGAATCATTCGAAAAAGGGTCCTCGCCCACGTCTTTCCAATTCATTGAGCTCGAAGGAGCCTGACCCGGAATTCTCCATGAAAGCAAATCACAATCAGTTTTCATAAGGGTGCCCGTGAAAGACTCGATACTTGAACATTAATACGATCGCAAAGAAAAAATCAACTCTGAATACAGAGTTAGATTTTATCTACAAGTTACTCCGTTAATTGGTATTCGAAGTGAATGGGAATACCGCCAATGTTTATTAATGCTTCCGTCTCTGCATCTGGTATATCTGTTTCCAAGTAAAAACAAATATACTTGAGATTAAAATTTTATTTTTAGCAACACTTGTTGTTCAACAAATTCTATAAGATAGTCTGTGTATTCGTTACTATTAAGCTGTACGCGTTAAAACTTTCGTGAGATTGACGTTTTTAAAATCGTCGTAAAGTATACCCCTGCACTGTATCATTAACGACTAGACTCTTTTTAGTGTCACTGCAAAACTGATTTAAAAGTGGTCGAGGTGGCCAGTCTACTGGACGTCCTCGTCCTATTCGTGTTTCATCGAAGGTTCGATTTGTTTCGTGTTAATTAGAAAATGTGGTGTAATTTGTTTTTGAGTAAAGAATTATGAATTCTTGTTTGCTCTGTACGTACAATTTATAGAATTGCTCGATTGGAAGTGTTTGTCAGCGATCGTAGGTTTTTCTTCGTTTCGTTAAGGGCGGAGGTACACGAACGTTGAAACGACGTGCATTTTTATGTTTTTTTAGGAACACCGGTCTTGTCCGTCTTCGTTGCTTTCGATCGCAAGACAAGAAAGAACATAGAGACGCGCGTCGTTTCGATGCTCGTGTGACCCTAACCTAAATCACGTTTCCGTTACCGCGTTTCAGTCAACTGCAAAACACGATTCGTTGTTGTCGCCTTAAGTCGTACTTGGAACGCAAGTTTCCCTATATAGCTTCGTGAACACCTTGTTGGAATATTGAGTTTGCGTTCGCGATGATACAATTGCGGCCACGCTTTCAAGGAACATCGAACAAAGGCGTTGTACCTTGCAGCACGATACGTTGCTTACGAATATCGGTACGGGAATTAATACGTTGTACTTTCCACGCATGTTATTCCACACTGGAAATATTTTGGAGCCGAAGACCAAATCAATAAATTCCAGATTTTGTTATTGTTTTGCATGCTCGCTGACAAACATGTTTGGCACAAATTTATATCGTCATAAGTTGGTTTAATTGCTGATAAAACATTCTCGTTAAGTGGCTGTTTATATTTAAATGTATCATGCGTTCCTTCACCTCGCCGTTGAACGTATACAATTTAATTAATGCTTTACGATAATAACTATCTTCTGATTAGCACGTAATCGTTGAATAATCATAATTGTAAATTGTTAAACCGTGTAATTACCGTGTGATTAATTTGCAACAATAATCGTAACACATTAATTACATTACATTTTGCCTAATGCTGTTTTTAACTTGCGCTTTAGACCAATAACGTTTTACCACTGTTCACCAATATCGTTTCTTCTTTTGTAGAATTTTCTTTATTCGGAATAAGTACATACTATAATCGATTTAAGTATCTATTGCATGCAGGTTTGCATTTAACGAAATTTATAGCGGGCTCGGTTCACGGCGTGCACGATATCGTTCGAAACGGGGCATCGAAATTTTCCATGGCACTAAATAAACCTAATTGACTAGACGAGGGTCAAACGAGTGCCGAATTACGGCGTGGGATTATATAGTTCAAAGGGGATATGCCTTACTATTAATTTGTTCGGGATTTGACGAGCCGTTTCCTGCTGTTTCACGCATTTACTACGAAACGTTTACTTTTCGAACGGATAGTACTTGTGATCTTTGGCGCTGCAATCGATAAAGAATAGCAAATGTATATTATTCAAGGAAGCACGGTTCATCTATTTAACAAAACTTTCAATCCTTTCTTTGGGTCTGTTTCGATGGGAAAATTATTAATTGTTGACTGTACTAATATTTTTAAAAATACTTACTCGCCAAAACGTGACACGCGTTGGCCCGTTCCGATGGTCGACACAACTTCCACTTCCTCGGGCGTCAAGGAAAAATCAAATATATCTATATTTTCCTTCAATCGGCTAGCCGTTACGGTTTTCGGAATAATCGCGATACCTCTTTGCAACTGAAACGTTTCGAAGTAAGCAAAGTAAGAAAACTGATTCACATATTTGATCTTGCTTAATCATTTACAAATATCTGATGTTCTTATCTTGTCAGTTTTATATTACAGAGTTTAACGAAATCGGTTGTATTTACTGTTTGTCGGATTTTAAAAAAGAATCATATATTTATCATTTTCAGATAGAAAAAAAGAATTGTATTCGAGACTACCAACATAGATATAATTATTCTTTGAAATATTCTTGGGTGAATCATTATCTATATCTTTTGAATGTAATGTAAAAGCAAGATTAAATTCGGATAATTCTGTACTCACCAAGTAACGCAGGGTAATCTGCGCTGTCGTTTTGTTGTACTTTTTCGAAAGTTCTACGATTTTTGGATGGTCCAAAGAAGTCGGTATCCCCGATCTATTCCCCGGTTGTCCCAATGGCGAAAATCCAGTTACCGTGATGTTGTGTTTCGTACAAAATTCGATCAGCTCTTTTTGATTCACGTTCACGTTAACTTCGATCTAGACACATGTTGGGCTTATCGGTATTAAGATAGTTATGTGAAATGATTGATTATGATAGTGGTTATTTTTTAAGTCTCAATGATCGATATCAGAAAAGTATTCAATTAGCAAAACAGTTCCATACTATAGTCATTATCTCTCTATCGATTCAAACAAGCTTCAACAAGCAATATAGTCAATTTACACTATATCCCATTAATATATTGTTCTAATCTTCTAATCTTAGACATAGATAGATTATTATTCTAGAAATATTTTTGGAAATATTCCAACATTTTTTAAACGTATTTAAACAGTATTGTACCGGGTTACCTGATTGTTTACGGGCAAAATTTTTGCAGCACCGAGCAAACGAGTGATTTGTTCGATGTTGAAATTGCTGATGCCGATACTGCGTGCCAATCCTAAACGTACGCATTCTTCCATTCCTTTCCAAGTCTCGAGATAATCGGTATCGGACATTAAAAGAGCACCGTTGGCATCCCTGGGCATTAAATCGCCGCCTGGCTGACGAATAATCGATAAGTGGTTCGTGATAATTCGCGCAGGTAAATGTACACAGTACGCGATAAGAACAGGTTAATTAGCGTAGCTTACCTGGAAGGCAAACGGCCAGTGTATCAAGTACAGATCCACGTAACTTAAGCCAAGATTTTCCAATGATTTTTTACACATTGGTACTACGCTCTTCTCTTCGTGTGAGTTGTTCCAAAGCTGGAAGAAATTTATATAAATTCCGAAACACAGTGTTTATTTTTTAAACAACAATATTACCTTCGTTGTGACGAAGAGATCCTCTCTCTTCACTGTACCGTCCTTAATTTTTGCTTGAATCGCCGTGCCAATTTCCTTTTCGTTTTGGTAATAGAACGCTGTGTCGATATGGCGATATCCGATATTTATTGCCTCTATCACAGCCTTCTCTACCTCTCCAGCGCGCGACTAGAAAATAAAACATTTATTTACACGCTGACGCTTACGAGTCTATTCAATTTTTGAATTAACCGCGCAACGGACCACGTGACAGTGTCAGTTACGAACTCGCGACGCACGAGAAGTTCTCGTCGAGACACGAGGTTGATTATTCTCGTTAGGCAGGGATTTTAATATCTTAATAATTAATTGCTGTTTCACAGTGAGGCGCGAACGTTTCTTTACCTGATATGTACCAAGGCCAAAAGCTGGCATTTTGTGGCCATTGGAAAACGTAAGGTTTGGTATCTGCGCCATTATCGATTAATCGTTAACGTTGATAGGACCGGTTGATCGATTCGATGTATCTGCAGTGTAATGACCGTTCCCGATCACGGTATTCTGGAAACTAACTGATCATACTCGAGAAGCGACAGTTACATTTCGCAACATTCATGATAGTCAAAGGTTACGTAACACGTTCATGACGATGCAAACACTTCTGGCTAGCCAATATTAGAAGTATCTAACGTTACACAATGTTATCGTAATTGCGATATTGTTCATATTTCTATAATTAGAAAGCTTCTCTTAATTAACTAGGACAAGTTATTTAGTGAAATAATTGTCAAGATACGAACGTACGTGTATTAATTCAGTATGCTTTGTGAATAGTTTGAAGGCAAGGCAAACACCGATTTAGCGTTTTCTTAAGTAATAATTAAAGTAATTTATTCAGGAAAACAGGAATTACAGGCGTCGGAAAAATATACATGGAATATATGCCTCGAATGTTACAGTAGAATTACATTATTTTCAGAGAGAACAGCAAGATTAACCATCGTTTGTGCCCTTTAAAATTCTATGTTAAATGGATAATCCTTGTGTCCCTTGAACCTAAAAACAAAAGCTCATATTAGAACGTAAATGCAATAACAAATACGTGTATAGCTGATCCAATAATTTAAGCGTATTTGTTATTTTGATTTATCGCTTACTCCGCAGCGGGGCACACGCGAATTCCGGTATCCAGTTTGTCCAACTTTGCAATTTCTTGCGGAGTCAGCTTGAAATCAAAAATATCGATATTTTGACCGAGTCGCACTTTCGAACAGGATTTTGGAATAGGAACCGTACCAATGTCAACCTGCAACAGAAACTAATTATAGCAAACGAACATTAATAATTTTTAAATTTAATTTACCAAGTATCGCAGAATGACTTGGGCAGATGATTTATTGTATTTCTTGGCGAGTTCGACGATCTCTGGTGCATCCATCGTGACCTTCGGATCGCCAGGTTTCGCCCATGGTCGCAAAGGCGAGCCAAATGGACTGTAGGCTGTAATAGCGATGCCACGCTCCGCGCAGAATTGTCGTAGCTTGGTTTGATTCAAGTTGGGATGACACTCGACTTGGTTCATCACCGGCTTGATCTCGGCGATCGATAAAATACGATCAATTTGCTGAGAATTGAAGTTGCTGAGGCCAATGCTTTTTGTCAATCCTAATTTCACGCATTCCTCCATACCGCGCCATGTGTCCAAGTAATCGTCGAATCCGTACATGGGATTTCCCTGCTCATCCACTGGCCAAAGACCTTTTGCATTTTCCTGAAATGTCGTAGAAACGAAAATCAGTTTTTCGACTCGTTATTACCCATAAAATTCTCTTACTATTGTACGTTATCTTACGCTGTAAGACACAGGCCAGTGAATCAAATAGAGGTCTATGTAACCGAGTCCGAAATTTTCAACAGATTGTTTACACGAAGGTACCACGTTCTCTCTCTTGTGGGATGTATTCCATAGCTGTAAATACAATAATTTTTAACACCAACGACCCCGAGTAAGATTTATTTTTTTATGCATGAAATTACCTTTGTCGTAATGAACAGATCCTCTCTTTTTACCACGCCCTCGGCAATCTTCTCGCGCAAAGCTTTGCCGATTTCTTTCTCGTTGCCATATATGTAAGCACAGTCGAAATGTCGGTAGCCAGCATCTACTGCGTCCCGTATAGCTTGTTCAACGATGCTTGGATCATCCTTTAACAATTCATAGCAAATGAATACAATTTTTTCGTGCTATTCTTAATACATTTACAATTTATTTTTTTCAAAATCTACATGACATCTACCGATATCGGTATATATTTTACAAGTTAACGTTATCAATGATACGTGATGCATTGACACTTACATATCTGTAATTATGCGCATTAAAAGTGTCCATAAAATATTAATTACGAATATTATTTAAGAAAAGCTGTTATACACATTGTAATACACTCACGCCACCTTGCCAAGTACCAAGTCCTAAAACGGGTATTCTTTTTCCGTTAGTTAGAGTTAGCGTCGGTGCAGCCATCGTTTATGGTCGATCACTTGTCACTTTCTAAAACACATATACATTCGATTCTAAACGGCACATGAATATACAAGTCTTTATACGAGAATATTTCCCCCGCTCCGAGCATTCTCTTCGCATAGGTATAGATACTTTTATCAAATCTAACTTTTATTACGCGGTTTTATTACGTAACCGAGATCCGTTTAAAAAAAACACGTAGTGAGTAATTTGTACGATGTTAAGTAACAATTCGAAGATATTGTCCAGTTTATCTATAGTTATAGATAAAAAAAACCGTATCAGAGGTTTTTTTTTTTGTTTTTAACGTCAGCATTCACCGATACGCGTAAATTGCGACAAATGTACAGAGTTGTTTAAAAAAAAAAAAAGTAAAATACAGTTTCAAATTATGAATGTATATTCATATTTACAATAACATAAATATTACAGAAAGTGTTCGTGTTACATATATTTTGTATAAATCGGAATTTTACAGTCGGCGATAAGGAAGATAGATGGATTTGTATCTTTTACAAATACTTTCGTACGAATATTTCACGTTTGTCTAAATCGTCATCGTTTTATTCACGCAGACTCGATGTTCGAAACGGGCTTTGCATCTTCGTTATTCTCAGTCATTTGATCCTTCTCCTTTTTAAAGTGTTTATTCTGATTTTTTATCTTCTTGGAATCTTTTGCTCCGGTTTCTAAATCGATTATTGTTTTGGCACGTGTACCAGGCCCCCAGTTTGTAGTAGGATTGTGTTGAAACCGTGTCAGATGTTTCTGCCTGGAAGCTGGATTGGCTAAAGGATGTATGTCGAATGAAATGTTCGTAGTTATCGATGCGTTTAATATGTTCATCGCAGGACTGTTGTTTTGCAACTTATCACGTTTTATCGGATGATCTTTCTCCCACGTGCGTACAATGTCCCATATAACTTCGTTTGGCGCATCCGTTTTTATAGATATTTTATTTGCATGCGAATACGATACATTGTATCCTGCGTTCAACAATGCAGATCTAAACATTAACATCGATGGTGTATGACACCTGACTATAGACATTAAACGATCCAGAGTATAGTATAGCGGTATATCTAACTCCTCGTGAACAACGTTTAATACTCCCTCTATCCTCTTCGAGGTTCCCAATTTCATGTTACGTAAATTACATAAAAGTTCAGAGACAAATTGTTGATCGTGCAATGTATCTAACCATATAGGTCCTCCGGCGTGTTGTTTGTGTTGACAAATTTTACAAAGTTGATTCACGCAAGGCGAAGCCAATACTTTATATTGTCCGGTGGGTTTCTTGTAACAAAACGGTTGGATATTAATACTTTCGCAACCGGTGCATTGATATATCATTCCTATTTTAGTCGCATTGTCTTTGCATTTAATTTGGCTGGAAATTACTTTAACGAATACCCTAATATAAAAATCAGCGCTTATAGAAAGCAATGGTACTATGTATCTACCATAACAGGCTGCATGGGAAGCAATATTTTGTAACAAAATTCTTAACGCTATTTCGTGACAAGCCTTGGATTTTAAAGAAATAGCTCCATATTTTAGGTAACAAGTTTCAGGAAAATTACCAGCCAATACAGCCATGTCTGTAGCTGTAACCATAAGCAGACCACCGTCCGACACACATTGCACCGCTCCGTCTAAGAATACTGTCGGGCAACCGTATGGATCCAAATCAATGACGTCAAAATGTTCTTTTCTGTTTTGGTACATTAATAATGTCGCATCCTCGTGACTCGGGGTTACAAGATTTTCAACGCCGTTGTATTGTATATTCTTTTTAATAGTCTCTACTGCTTTTGCAGAAATATCGTTAGCTACGATTTGCTTTATGCCTTGTACCTCCTTAGCATACCGTATACTGCGTAAACCAGTCGCAGAAAACGCTTCCAATATGGTTATTTTACCTTTTTGTACACCTTTTTTTGATACTTCTTTGTTTCTAGCATCGGCATAAATCATCAATACCGCCGCACTGAGATCTCTGTTAAACTCTTGAACGGGGTTATAAAATACATTTGTATTTTTTACTAAAATCTCAGCCTCGCCTTCTTTTATACTCGATGCGTTTTCTAATTTTGGTCTTTTCGCGCATTGCTCATCATCCATATTAAATAATGCTTTGGGTAGTCGGTTTTATACTACGGTGTTGTATAAAAATATTTTGGTCACCAATCTTAATCATAAAATAGTGATACGTCGTGAAACATAACCATTCGAAGAATATCACACGAGCAAATATAGGTATTGCATTTTAATGCGATAGGTCAATTTAACACCAGTACTTTAATTAATTAATTGAGTATCATTATGTACGTACATATCTTAAATACGAAAACAATTTACGATGTTTTACGTTATTGTGAATAATTCGTTTTTTTAACGTGGTAGCGTTGCACTCGGTCAACAGGTGGTAATACCACGGACGAGGTATGCTATTGCCATTTTACATCTCGTTTGTGACTCTATGTTGTCTGTAGTTTGTGCTCCACAAACTGAAGTACCGACTACGCTAAGAATTAAGGTATTTCATTTTTAAAAACAATATACAGAATATAATTTGCGCGTAAATTGTTTAATGTACATTAGTTTAATAAGGAAGTTAATTGTTCAGAGATACACGACTCTTTTTGTTGATGAAACTTTTCAATTTTGTCGAAAAACTTCTCCACCTACTCGAATTTTTTTCTCGTAAGTGCGTGGGAATTCGAGGATATGTCTATTGACCAAAAATGATTGTAATCGACCCCTTCGACAGAAAATAATTTTTTCAGAACGGAAACTGCGATGAAGTCTAAAGACCATATTTAATGATTTTATATTGCAAGGTTTTGGCCAGGTTTTCCCAGAAAATCATGCTTTAAAAATTGAATCGATGCCATCCGTTGTGATGCAATTAATTAAGATTATTCGCCCTTGAAATCTATTTATGCATCTTGAAAAGTGATAAAACTAAATTATGTGTGAAAAATATGACCAATGAGTAAAACAAAACAAATGTTATGTTAATATATCTGATAAATAATAACTGCTCTTCTTGTTATAAAAGTTTATCTACATATGTATTTCATAGAGTTGGTCAGCGCGTCTGACTATTTATAGTATAATCTCCTTTCGGTAGTCACGCTGGCTGAAGTAGATAATCAGATAATATAAATATCAGATAAAGATAAAGATCAGATAAATAGGCCAGACAGGTAGGAATAATCGTTAGCGAAACGGAGGTAGTCAATATGTTTATTATTATTTCAATATTAACAAAGAAAATTTGATCGATATGATAATTGTATAAAATTGATGTTCTGGCGAGGCGAACAATTATTCAATTTTTATGTATTTTTCTATTTTATTTTTTATCAGGATTTCAGGAGTGGAGTGAGAAGAGCCAACTATTTTTGTTAACGATTTAATTTACTTTAACTTACATCTACAGGCATGTCGTATTAATCTCTAGGCAAATAATATCAATCGGTTCGTTAAATGGTCATTTCTGTACAAATTTATTGTTTAATCGAGTAGGTTGAGAGACTTGTTTTTCTTGTAACACGCCACCAACTTGGCTGCCTTGTTGCAATCGTTAGTACCGGCTGAAACGACATTCATTAATTTATTTAACATTAAAATAAAATACGCGTTAAATATTTTTCTAAGAACCATCTTGCACGTAAATTTTCTAAAAATCGGCACGTTACGCATAAACGCGATGGTCCCTCTCTGATAAATTGAATCTTGTTTGGAGAAATTTCAAGGGGAGAGAATCGTTGGTAGCCAGTAATGGTTTACTTACTGATATCTTTGCATTTGTTAAAAATTTCCTCGACGCGTTCCTTGGTAACGTCGGTTGGAGCCCTTTTCTTGACCACTTCTTCGTTCAGAGATCCGTCCTGGTTCATCTACAGCAGAAATAATAATTATTTTTAGGCGCTCTTCGCAAACTACTACCTTAAAACTTATTCCCGTCACTTACGATTCCCATTTTCTTCAGCATGCAAGCAACGAAGCAGGCTCCTTTCTCGTTGTTCTCATCAACAATGCCTTTTTTCAGATCCTCCACCACCTCTGGGGAACAACAAGTAATAGTCACAATATCATAATTCGATTGGGATATTGGGAAAGTTTTTTTTTTTTTCCTGTTTGGGGTTACAGTGTACCTGGGGGGCTGGGGGCCCCATAACCTGCATTTAGAATGACTGTTAGTGTCTCTGGGTATATTATTTATGTTAGTGTGGGGGTTGCGGTATTTCTTGAGTTCGGGCTCGAGGGAAAACTTTCAAAAACCTCGTTTTCATGCATCATGCGATGAGTATGATAGTGGGGGTTGTTAGTTTAGGATGAGTCTGGATGTTTTTATATGATATTGGGAAGTCGTTCGAGGAGTGTATATATAGCAACCGAGGGGTCGTTCGAGCGCTTGTGAGAGCGCGACCCCTCTGGTGGCGAACATGGGAGGCGACGCCACAGCGGAAACACGATCTAATTCGGAATACTTTTAATTTTGTTCGATTGGAAGAATCATTCACGCAACGTATAATTAAAAATATTCAACTTACGTCTCTCGACGTTGCTTTCTTCCATGCAGACGGTCTTGAACTCTCCAAGTTGGGCCTCTTGTTCTTCCGTAAGTGCCTAACAAAAACATTCTTTTTAGTCTCCTCTTTTTAAATTTCTGTTACAGTTTAATTAATACGTGTAAACACAACTGCCCTCGTTACGGTGTCATTGTTATAAATAAAAACGAACAGATACCGTTCTTGTGCGTTCGCGAAGATAATCGAGCAGTATCAGACGTCGGGGTTATCGGTCAATCCAATTAAAAACATACGAGATTTGTTTATCATTTTTATGATCGTATTGGATCTACCGCAAACAATGTTAGAGTTTTAAAATTATTATGCAAAAAGGAAGTTTATCTTCTGCAACATTAATCGTAAACTTAACTTTATTTAGTAATTTAAAAAGGAAAATAATAACTGTAACAGGACAATTACGATGTATTTTCAAGAAATTAATACTATAACAATGTAATGAAGCAACGATAATATTTCCTTATTCTCTGTTAAAGAAGAACTATTTCACTGATTTTATGTATCTAAAACTATAAGAAAATCAATAATAGTGTTAACGTAAAGTTCAACAGCCTCTCATAATCTGTAAAAACAGAGCACTCTATGTGGTTTATTGTCTTATCTTCTATTTACTGCAACAGTATATACAACTTTCAATGAAACAATTATATCATTTTAATAATTGTATGCATTGTCAACGGTTAAAGGAACTCAAAAGAAAAAGAAAATTTATAACATTTTCAAATCCCATAAACACGGAAATACATGAAATAAAAATAAATTGTTTCTATGAAATTGTATCTGAAATATCGATAGTTGATTAAAAAGAAAAAAGTTGAAAATTTTACCATGGCACCGACTATACAGAGGGCAACGACTACAACGATGGTCTTCATGTTTAGTGGCTGGTCACGATGTGAATTCAGAACTGATATTCGCTAAGAACTGAACGCACGTTCGATTCTTCCATGGGTTTTTATAGTTCTGAATTCGACCGCTACGCACACGGACATAAATGTGTAGTGATTTCTCCTTCCCCGAGCCGACAAACCGATTGCTCGTTCGCATTGATTAATTGCTATCGCGATTTTTTTCACAAGTAACACCGTACCACGTACAACTCGATCAGCATTCAATTTTTTCTCTGTTAATTAATGGCAATGATTAGCATTTAATCATTCACATCGCCTTGTCGTTTTCGAACGGCACCTTATATTTTTTACTTGGCAGAAAAAGCCAGTTCAACGACATGCTGTAGCAAATTACGAGACAATCTGGTTCCCAAAAATTTACGTTTCGCCTGTAAAAATGATTTTTAAATTAATTTAACAATATCGAATTTAAAGAATTATTACTGCATCGTTGTTCGAACAAATCGAACGAAACTTTAATGGGAAAGGAAAAGAAACAAAAAAGAGAGAAGTCATTCCACCCGGATTTACATGAATAATTCATTGGACACCGACGAGTTCCGTATCATTTTCATCTACGTGTACATTATCGAATTTCTTTGGTAGATCGAAGGATCGATGCACGTGATTTCTTTCAATCGTTCGTTCTCTGTTCCACGCGCACGCGAAGGTCACGGTGAAGCTTGTAACTCTATACAGAGGTAGAAGGATCGTCGGTGGTTTTTTTCAGAATCAATTATACGCTTTAATTAGGCGCGCGCGGCCAAGTAAAACATATTACGCAACACCGTTGACCAGCGTAAATAATATTTGAATCCTGCAGAAAATTTCAGACGAGAATCAACGAGAAAGGTCAATGGACGGAAGATTAACCTCTAAACATTATAAATAGAAATGTAGAGGACCGGAATATTATGATCGAATATTTTACAAATAAAAACGTGCTTTAGATTGACAAAAAATTTCATTACAATTTCAACGTTCACTGAATACTGAAGATCGTTCGACGAAATCATTTGAAAGGAATCACAATTACGTCTTATGAATATAACCGAGTAATCGGCACTGGCATAATTTTAAACGCGGATCGTGTTGCATTGGCCGATTTGTAGCTCGGTAAATACGTCGGAAACGATTACCGATCGACGATCAATGCGTATACGCTCGCATTAAACTCGGTATAAAATTACACTGTTCCATTTTAAAGAGCTTCTTAGATCAAATATGTAGTATACTTGGTTAGAGAAAATTTAGTCTAGTTAATTACCTTGGAAGCTTGATTAGCATGCTGCTAATAATTCTGTAGGGGGTTCATAGCGTAATAGAAAAGAAATCTTTCCCTTTCCGGCGGGACGTTCGAAAATAAAATTAAGAAAAAGTTGCTAATAGAGGTATTGATCCGAAGATTAAAAATTCATGGAAACGTCGAGAGAAAGGATTTTCGTGGTACGGTGATGAGTGCTGCCGCCAACGTCGAGATGCTGAAATGTTTGATGCGTTAGGAAGCATGAACTGCATACCATGCAGTAGTGACACACACACCAACACATAGAAGTAGGTACTGTTATCGTTGGCGCTACAGAATATTAAATTAGTTGTGTGTAATATGAAAGTACAACCGCTATATTGCCTTACAAACCATGGGAGATAAAGGTAACGAATTATTAGAAAATTGTGCCAGTGTCGACTCCGTGTCGCGAGGTAGTTTTTATCGCGATTAATACCCATCGTTTGGACATATTTCGCGGCGAAATCGTTCACCATCGAAGCTAGACGTGCATAGACGAACCGACAGCCTCTCAAAAATAGAATAACAATCGCGTCGAGTAAAACTTTTGATAAAAAAATCGTGTGTCTCGGTGCATTCTCCAAGACCGGTTCGTCGTTGGTGTACTAGGTTAGGATACGTTCCGTAACTGGGTCATTTGAAAGCGCGCCACTTCGAACATTGTCAGCTATCGGGCGAACTTTGCATTATTCGTTTCTATCGGAGATTTCGATTTTTCGAAGTTTTCCCGCGTTCGCCTTGCACTCGTTACATCAGCTGGCATCCCGATCGGTGGATGGAAACTGTTAACACCTCCGAGGGTTGAAATGTCACGCTATATGTGAACATAATTTGACGCTCGATAGCACCTACATATAAGCGACACGTGATATTGTATCGTGACGCAATCCTTACATCAATATTTATAGTTCTTTAAAATGCAAATCGTGCATCGGTGGCATACTTTTACGTCTGTTTATTTTCTTCGTCTAGATCGCGTTATATAAAGCACCGCGTAATATTTAATCTTTCAAACGCGTGTATACATATAATTCCATAAAAGCGATGCTTATACGAGCAACATCGATACGTTCCTCTTAGCTGCTCGAGCATTTACAATCCGGGCTAATAATATTAAATATTTAGGTCGATCTTCAATTATCTATACATATTTATTTACCTTAAATAGACGATACGCGTGGTTGTTCATACGGAAGTAAATCAATATAAAACATATTTGTAAACTTTCTGTAAAAATCGCATTTAATCAAATAATGTTAAGTGCACGTGTATTCCACTCCGTCAGTCGTTATTTGCTTTCTATAAATCTTGCTATATTATTTAACTCAGTTTCTACCGAATCATCACGATGATACGAAATAACAGACGTTATAACGACGTACGTACTTGCAATGGAAGCTTGTAGTTGCATTGCAGTTAATTAATACTGTGTCTTTAGACAAGCCATATGTGAATAAACAAGCAACGCAGTGTGTTTCGAGTAATTATTAGCAGAATAGAAAGTATGTACATTAAGTAATAATTAGAATCGACACTAGAGCCTATAAATTATTGCCTTCACTGCTGTTGCATTATTTCCAGTCATACTACGATTTAGAAGCACAAAAACAAACAACAAAAATAGGTTACATTAATCAGAAATCTAGTGAAAATAATATACCTTCGATCGATAATAAACATCTGTTAGTAAATATTTATCAGGGTAACGAGTGAAAGTAGACAGGATAAAAGACAGTAATCGTTGAATATTAATTAATATTTTCCCGCCAACCTAAGTTACGTTCCCGCCAACCCAAGTTACGTTCCCGCCATTTTTGTTGATAAACCAATACACAATAAATTTCGTACCTATGTACCAATACGTATCTACAACGTTGATTATTTAGCAATTTTCAGTTAATATTACTCATAGAAAGTATGGTTAATATTATTATCTTCGTTCTATTAACATTAACATTAACTTAACGTAGGACCGATATTAAGACTACGTATTACGAATAAACGCGTTCAAACTTCATTAAAATTTGATAATAAATATCACGAAGAGAAGTTGAAGTGATAATGATATTTTCGTTTGATTATTTACGTGATTTATACGAGGTTCGCGATACGTGTACATTTATTCGTGAACTAAAATATCGTGTTTAGAGCATCATGTGCACTTCAGCGGGGGAAGCGGCCTTGGGAAAGACAACAATATTATGATACAGCCGCAACGACATGGACAGATAGATGCCCATCTTGGATTTTTGCAGCTTCATCACAGGTTGTGCTTCGATTAATTGTTTTTCCGTTTAATTAATTAATTATAACATTTCTATCTGGAATACAGAATTCACAATGTCCGTAGTCGTTACTCTAGCTCTAAATTTATATCATTTTATTTTTCTAATATACACTAGTGTTAACGTCATGCGACTATGTTGTTTTATCTTTTTGTTCAGATATCACATTGACTTCTCTGTCCCTTGGAATCTGTGTATGCATGGCGATGGAAAGACACTAGCTCCAGCCATAGTTACTGGGAATCATAATCCCAATTGTCATATTATCGATTTGGGACAAGAAAAGGACGGCCTAAGGTAAAACACATTTACGGTCTACAATAAATTATATAAAATACAATTTTGACAGTATGCTTTCGCAATGCAATTATGATAAAAAAGTATATTATTGATAACAACAAACTATAGCCTTGACCGTGCAAGCGATATCGTTATCAGTGTATCATTGGTCTTTCTGCAAGGCTAATTACAATTTTGTTTTATCTTTTATATTAATTTTGTGTCCTCTACGTTGGGAGGGGGTACAAATGTTTTAAATAACTCGCTTCTCTAGTAGAAAGGTTTAAATTTAGAAACTGTTTTAACTATGAAAAATTGGCTGTTGGAAGCTTCAGGGATTTATTTGATCTGTGACAGGTTAAAGGTAATGCTGCTGGCGCATAAGGAGAAGATTCTGAAGGAAGAGGTGCAGATAATGTGTTGCAAGGCAGGAACCCCGTTAAAGATCCAATTGAACGCTCGTGTACTGGGGAAAGACAAGGGTACGCCGCTACTGAGGAACGGCATACGCAGCATCGGCGTGGAGAGACCGGATGAAGATGAGGTCTCCGAGTAGATCTCGCTGATACCGATAATGTTGCTCGAATATCTAAGAGTCGAGTGTTTTTTCCACAGGTGCTGGGAACGAAACTGAGAGCATCCCTGAGCATGCCAAGCCGGCAGAATATCTGAAACAGAAGCTAAATGTCCTGGTTCACGAGGCGAATCACATGATTGACGATGAAGAATGTCACAGGGGATGAAACCAACGTACGAGAACGTTCCTTATTTCGAACGTTAAACCGTGCAATTCTTCGCGGGACCGTCGCGCAGGATCGTTGCGATTAATGATCGTTACTTTTATTGTTATTATTATCACTATTTTAGTTGACACACGATTATCAAGTGCACATGTTTTAACTTTAAATACGTAGTACACGCCTATGACAAGTTTAAAGAAAAATAATCTCCAAACTATTTAACAGTACAATTGCACGTCGTAACTTTCGAAGTAGACAATGTTCGGAGAGCTTTTTCGAGTATGTTGGCGTTGGTCTAATTATGTAGGTCTACGCGGGACTCCCTCTTGCGTCGATTTTACAAAGACGACGGATCTTGACGCAAGAAACAGTATTCCTTTAATTAGCAATTATCGATGGATCACGTCGGAGACATGTAATTACGAGTAACTGCTAAGTACCGCATTTGCCTACTGTTATCTTCTTCAACGAATACGTATCACGCAATGCCTATAAAGTTTACTACACCTTTTAATATCCACTGTCAATCTATCTGTAATAAGTGAGATTGTATTTTATTATCGTTTTACATCGAGCGTAGGCTTTTAAAACCTTCAATCAAAAGAAGAAAAAGAAAGAAAAAAAAAAATGAACTACGCGAATAACGACGCTGTTTTCTAGTTCCTCGCTAAGCTAAAAACGAATTATTAAAAACTTACGACTTGAACGAAAAAACGAAATGTCTTGTGGTCTGTTAACGATTATCCCGATGCAATGGGATCAAGAGAAATTTTAATTGGAGTTTTTATCAGGCTTTTTTGAATCGATTGCTGTGTCGAGCTATTCTTCAGACACGATTCGTCAAGCCAGAATCGATGGGTGGTAAATCGACCAGCTTCCCCTTTCTATCTCTGACGTCACTGAAATTTCTCTCGATCTCCTTACATTACATAAAACCCAGCTTGTGTTTTCCCGCGCATTTGTAACGGTAGAGATTTGGTTAAAGTTTTCACCGTTCATTTCGATCTTGAAAATTCTCTACAAAGCATAGAAAATACGAAGCTAATAAATTCTCGTTGTAGTTGCACAGCTCGAATTGAAAGGAGGAGAAGGGTTTGATTAAATATTAAACGAGTCTCATTATTATATTTCATCCATTTATACACGTTTTCTGTTAAAATCTTCCATAGATATAAATCGAGCGACACTAGGCGATCTTGAAGGCTAAAATATGAAAATCAAAGTGTTGATAACGAAAATATCAAACTGTGTGAATGGAAAGTCGAGCGTGTGCGTGTCCACGCATCATCGAGAGCGTTAAATAAACAGTCTTTACCTTGTTAAACGTAGAAGTCTAACATCAGCACCGAAAATTCGACTTTTTCATAGGAATGCCGGTTGGTCCGTCGACAAATTCACAAATGTTAAAGCCAAGCCTGACCAGAGGATGGCAGTTACTTTTAGGGTTGCCCCATTTGCCCCTGAATGTCATCCAGGTGGGCAGGATGCCATTGTCCTCCTTTAGAAGCAATTCCATCTTCTTCCACGTGGGCCACGCGGTACCGAAACCGCTCTCGTCGTAAAGGCGAGGCAATCTGACGAATTTGTGCTTCCCCGGTGCTGTCCAGAGTCCGTGCGATCCACGCGCGCTGAACAGTATCGGATGAGAGCCACCGGCGGTGTACACTCTTTCCGGGAATATCGGTTTCTGGAAAATGCCTTTACGCGTCTCCTGGCTCTCGTAGACAAAAGTACCGCTTCGCAGATCGTACCGATAGAAAGCCCCGGCATCGTGGGCGGAGACATACATCGCTGAAGGATGACTGGCATCCTAAATTAAAAACAGGAAAAGGTGCGTATCCGTTACACGTTATCTTTTATCGCCATCGTGGGCTTGAACAGTTTCAAACTATTTATATTTTTTGATAGATTATCCTGAGTGCTTATCCCCTTGAACCGAGGGTGGATCCAGGAGAGGAGGGGAGTGATATTTTAAAATATTTTTTGTAAGACTTAAAATTTGTCTCTGATTCGTTTATTAATATTTTAATTACTTATTATGGAAATCTCAAAAACATTTAGAATGTAATATAGAGTGAATAATAAAAATACTTTTTAAGGTACCGTAACTCTTGGTCGAAGGAGGAGGAGGAGGAGGAGGAGAAGGGGGAGGGTAGCGATCGACCAGATTGCACCGTAAATACACCGGTACGCTGAATGAAATGGAAGTTGAATGCATGCAGGAATAACTGTATCGACACGAAGAACGAAGCGTGAGCTTGTCTACCTTAAAATATAGACTCATGTGTTCCCAATCGCCGACGTGATTGCCGTACTCCTTGAACATTCCGAGGCACATACCGCCTACAGTGGGTATCGGCCAGCTACCAAAAAATCCGAGATCCAGAACACAGACTGCCTTTCCCTCGCTGAACGGATAGAACATCCAATAGGTCACGTGAAAGCGCAGCTTCCGGGACCTGTTCCATTTTTTCTTCTTTTTCTCGAAATCTGTGATTTTCTGCGAGCGGGCGCGCAAATGAAACTAATCAATGCTAGTGAAATCGATGACCTACCAGTGGTATGAATTTTATTTTATTTTTTTGAAAGACAAAAAATTTCTTGCTTTGTATTAGATCGTTCAGGTATTTAACTTATTTACAGTTTGCAGGATATTTAAACACTTGTTTCAAACTGAAGATTGAAACGTGTTTTTTCACGAGATTCTCATTGTACCTACCTCGACGCCAAGTTTAGAATCGCCCTTCCAAACTTTCCCCGGGACGTCGTTGGTCAGAATCATCGGCGAACCGAAATCGTCCAATTGGAGCGCATTTTGCGAACGTATCGACGCGTCGCTCCCCTTTCTCCGTAATTTCTTTTCTTCCCTCGCGGCCATCGAGTTCATCGCGTCCGTGGAGGCCTCCGAAGGATCGACGCAATTCTTGATCACGGTGTAAACAGGCACCGAACCAGCTGGCTTCCGGCCGTACAAGAACGACGACCGATTCCTCAGCAACGTCTCTGCAGACGCGAACTGCTCGGTCATTCGATTCCCAGTAAATCGATCGAGCGATCTTTAACACTAGATTTATGGAACTCGTTGTTTCGAAAACCCGTATCTTAATGTAATCGTCAACAGATGGGGTTTCGATAAAATTATGAGCAATTAGTCCCTAAATCTAGCGTTAATCTCAACGACCGCGTACCGTTTTCATCATTTACCTACGTCGATACTGGTGCAAAGATAATCGTTGTCGGATTGCATGTTGTCGAGGAACTCGGGCACCCCGAGGGGCAGAAACAGTTCACCAGGCGCAAGCCATACCAATGGTGCCCAGTCTCGTACTAATCCTTTCACTGTAATTAATCGTACATGCGATTGGTAACCTTTCGTCCTGCACTGATAACAATAATCGCGATTATACAGGTTGTTCAGCAACCATAGAGAAAAAATTTAATAGGAGATTCTAGAGGGTAAAATAAGACGAAAATCAAGAATACCAATTTGTTGATGGAGGCTTCGTTAAAAAGTTATTAACGTTCAAAGTTGCGCCTGTGGAACGTCAACCTGCGAACAGCTGTTAGTGGTTCTCAGTCGGTATGAGAAACTTTACTTACCGACGCGACGTATCGACAGCCTCACAGTTTTCTGAATGAGAACCACTAGCAGCTGGTCGCAGATTGCCGTTACACAAATCAAGAATACCAATTTGTTGATAGAGGCTTCGTTAAAAAGTTATTAACGTTTAAAGTTGCGCCTGTAGAACGGCAACCTGCTTACAGCTGTTAGTGGTTCTCAGTCGGTATGAGAAACTCTACTTACCGACAGCAGCTGTTCGCAGATTGCCGTTACGCAGGCGGAACATTAAACGTTAATAACTTTTTAACGACACCTCGATCAACAAATTGGTATTCTTGATTTTCGTCTTATTTTCACCTCTAGAATCTCCCATTAAAATTTTGCCCCGAGGTATACAGTGTTGAACGAACAACGAGACAACGCAATCGGCAAATTTTTATTAGAGTTTTGTTATTTGATGTCTTATTGCGCGAGGTACTCGGGTAGATATAATCGTCCAATTATTTACAGGATATATAAAAGTTTAACGTGCAGGTTAATGGAAGAGAAACGCAGGGATCACACGCAATATCAACGTCCGCCGACAATAACATAATGTGTTTATTACAAAACCTGTTACCACGTGCTACTCGTTTCGATATGTGGTACATAGATTTAGGTAGAAAAAACGAACAGCCTAGAGAGATTCTACTTTCGTTGCATCTCGAAAGATTATTAAGCGATGTGTCTGTGTAGGGGTCGCCCCAGGCGCACCCACATGCAGATGCCGCTTGAACCTGCTTGAAAGAGGAAGAGTAAGTCACCAGGTAGGACTCGTAACCTCGTTATCTGTTCAATGGGAATCGAAGCAGCTTTCGAGTTTATTTTCTACCGTTTACAGCTTTCAAACTAAGTATACTTACTTAAATAAATACTCTTTGCGGTAATTTGCAAGCAATTAGAAGCCCCGGAAAGTTTCGATCTCGAAAGAATACAATTTCTAAACTCCATCTTGTAAATTAACGCGTAACAATAAAGTGGGATTACTTTCACCGTTGTCGTAATCGTAATTATTATGCACAACAGATACAGCGTTACCGTAATTGGCGTTACGACGCGTTGCCCATTATATTTACGCAATTAACCTCTTCAGAGCAGCTGTTAATTAAAATGTATACAAGATAACGAATCTCTAATTATTAATGTCGCATTACACACTGTTACGTTTGTGTCGAGTAGTTTTCGTAATTGTTGGTTCGATAGATATTTTAAATTACCAAAAAATATATTTTTTTACCGAAAACAAAATTCACGACCGTGAAAGTTAAAGAGCAAGCGTTATGTAGAACGAGAACGGGTTTCTGGTGTCTCCTACTTTGTTGCGAAGTTAATTATCTCGTTGCTTACGTTAGACCAGTCTCATGATATAATTACACACGAGCATAAAAACATCTGAATTTTTTGTCGTAATGATCATACGAAGATAATGAAGAAATAAAGCATCGACCTTTACGGTATCCTGACATCGATTACTTAATTTTCTAAGCTGATTTAATCCATTTGCACTGAAATATTAAGTCTCTAATGCCCCTTGTAATATTTGTAAAATATATGTTTACATATTTATTATTTTATGAAACGTATTTTAATATTTATCAGTCAATGCAGGGATAGATTTTATTAAGATACGCACACTTTCCTCGAATTAGAAAGAGCAACCAAAACGCTGGACAACCGTCCAGCGATTCATTTAATTATCCTCCGCGAGTGCGTGTAATACGAGCGAAAACGAAGATTAATGGAAACTCGTTTTGGCTTGCTTGACAATCGTGAAACCGGTCCGAGAAATGGGACGATCGATTTTCAGCCTCCCATCAATTCATGGCCGTGAGTTTTGTTCCTGAAACTAGATCGGTCGATTTCGAAACAGCGCCACAGTTCCATTTTTCTCCTTTTCCAAACATATGTAATTCAATTCTATCGTGAAAAAAATTAATTTTAAATTCAAGAGAATGGACGTAAAAATATTTTGGTTACGAAACTTCTTCCTGTTACGCAAGGTGAACATTGTAGTTTATTAATAATTTATCACGAAATAGGAATATTATATCGCGGGAGATAGAAAGCAATTGAATTTTGGTCACGCAACCACGCTTTCCAGTCTGCCGTGGCACGGTGTGTTTGTCTCGTTAAAACGTTTATGTTAACTCATCGCAATAATTGGCATAGTTGGCGGATAATACAATTTCACCGTTAATCCGGCGATTCTTGGCTTCGAGCGGTTACTATGGCGACCGTGTCCCGGTTCGAGATGCCTCCGGTGCCACATTCGCGACTAAGGGGCAGACCAGGTAGGGACTCGCATCTTCCCCCCACTCCAATATATTCCCCTTACTGCGCCTGCTCGCACGGGTGACCCGATAAATTCCAACATTCTGTTTCGGGCAACGGTGGACGGAGTCGTTGCAGTACAGTCGCTTCTCAGTGACGTAAGCGAACGGGGTTCCCCGACACAGCACGGGGAACATTGCAAAGTGGGAGAAGATGCGAGTCTCTACCTGGTCTCCCTGTTCATGACCTTATCGCTTTATAGTAAACATTCCTCGATGGTAATTCGCAAAGTAATCAACCCACCCAGAATATTCCGTACGGTGAAATCGCAGCAAAGAGTGTAACCATATTTATGTATGTAAAAATTTAGCCCTTTGTCGTTTATTCGAACATGGTAAAGTTTTCATTCTTTTTCCTATTAATAACCATATAGTTCCGTTTACAATTTTCTTGACTTCGGAAGTAAAAGTGTAAAAACAGTGTGTTTAATGCCCAAGTTCTGGTAAATTCGTTTCCGTTATGTTTCCGTCATCATAATTACGTTAAGCACGGGACACGGGAGGATAATTCCTATTCATTAGATGCACTGGTTTCCTTTGTAATATCTTGATGGCGCGAGGTTTAATACGCTTTAATCTCAATGAGACCTGGGCGTTTTATCAAATTTTCATGAAACATTGAAGCGACATCTAAGGGATATTGCTTTCGAACCTTAATAACTATTTGTCGTTTGATTCGATCTCCTTACCCCATTCCTCTTCGTCAGTTTCCGTGGAATCGGCGATCATACAAACGATACACAGAATCATTATCAAACACTGCATCGTATCCGACTTCTACGCACATTTTGACGACTAAGTGCCGGAATGTCCGCGTAACACGAAATTCTTAAACGCGGTTCATCGTCGACGCACCATTTTCCCGCCACTTTTGCATCTCGCCGCTGTCGATCACCGAAAGAACGCCGAGACTTCGAGGTTAGGTACGCCGACGACGCTCGTGTCGTCCTGCTACCAGCCAGAGTGTTTCTCGGGTAACTGACCGGTTCTCCACGGTACCCCGTGCCTCTCACTGAACAAACATTACCGTCGCTTACAGCCATCGTGCAGCCTGTTACGAGGATGTCGAGGGAAACTCCGAACTCAAGTTAACCCTTCTATCCACTCGAAAGTTTTAAACACCGTACGCTCGCTTTTCATGTCCCACGGTTATACGCCCACGTGCACGAACAGTTTGTATCTTTTAATCGTGCAATGTTTTTCTATGTAAACATGTAAACAGTTTCGCGATCGGTAACGTAGTCCTGCGTCGTTTCAAATTTGTTAACGGAATATTGGCAGTTAATACAACTGTTAATGGAATTGTAGCATCGATAAAGAATGAGCACAAACAGCAATTCATAGATGGAGATTTTTGTGAAGTATACGAATTTGTTTATGGATTTAAATCGATCCACAAATTCTAGCGAGTGACTCAATAATATTATATTCCTTAAATCAACGTAGTCTCGATCTTATCTATATATTTCTGTCTCATAGTTCTATCGGAAGTGTTCATTTGAATGCAGAGAGTAAAAGGAATTTCTGCTCGCGATTGCGGAACGAAAACGAAGCTAGTGAATCGAAAACCGCGGAAATTACTTACAATTAGTGAAAACGAAAGCGCGCTCTACACGACAATCATCGAATTATTTGACCGTTCGAATAGACTAAAGCATAGTTATTTTAAATAACACGTAGCTGAATAAATAGAAACATATCCGGCCACAGAGTATATTTTCGGTGAAGAATTTTTGTCTCGAAAGTGCGTAGGATTTCGAGGGTATGCGTATTCACAAAAAATGATTGTAATTGACCCCTGCAATCGAAAATAATTTTTCCAGAAAGATTTGAAACTTTTCAATTTCGCCGAAAAATTTGTCTACCTATTCGAATTTTTTTCTCGAAAGTGCGTAGGATTTCAGGGGTATGTCTGTTGACAAAAAATGCTTGTAATTGACCCCTGTAACTAAATATAATTTTTTCAGAACGATTTGAAATTTTTTAATTTTGCCGAGAAATTTCACACTTTATCGAATTTTTTTCTCGAAACTGGTAAGGAATTCAGAGGTATGTCTGTTGACCAAAAATGCTGGTAATTGACCCCTGTAACTAAGAATAATTTTTTTAGAACGATTTGAAATTTTTTTTTCCGTCGAAAAATTTCACACCTTCTCGAATTTTTTTCTAGAAAGTGGGTAGGATTTCGGGGTTATGTCTATTCACCAAATATGATCGTAATTGACCCCCACAACCGAAAATAATTTTTTCAGAATGATTTGAAAGGTTATTTCGTTCAATACGTAAAGTTTTATTTATCAATAGTTACAAAATAATACATCGTTCACTATTTACACTAATTTCTTTAAGAAATGAAAATCTATCACGAAATATCTACATCTTAACTGAACTTAAAATACTTTTTCAAGTACTCTACTGTTCAATAAATTTATACTATATTTCATTGGTAACGTCGGAGTAAAAAATAAAGCATATTTTGTTTTCTAGTACGTGTTTCGATAAATTAAATCATTCTCTAAATCTTGATTTTAACGTATATAAATAAGTTAAAGGGAAAGTGTAGGATGAGAAAGTTCTCAAGTACAACGTTTCCTCTTTCAAAAATACCTACAAATTCTGTTGTCCCCACTTTTCTTATCAAGATGACCGCCATATAATGTATACAGAGATCAGTGGTCAAACTTGAAAGCCTTAATCCGGCTTTGCTAACAAGGTTATGTCTGACCGAGCAGTTTAATATCACATCGCGGATACAGCCCTTTGAGATTCTTATCCAAAAAATACTTATTCAATTACTAAACATTTCCACCATCTTCTTGAGAAAGTTCGTTTCAAATCTGACAATCCAAAGTTGCTGCAGAGTGTGGGGGGGACAGTCTGATAGGTGTCATGGAGGAAATCGAACGCTGAATAGACTGCAACGCTGGCGTTTGCTGTTTAATTAACATATGTCGTAGAGATTGTGCTTCCTCTCTAAGCGTTATTATTTGCGCCCTCAAAATCGCGTTCTCGTGCTCCAACATAGTTGCCCGCAATGCGATCTACAATTTAACATCGATTATTGAGCATTAAATTCCTAAAGGAACATTTTTATTTTATTACAATACTTTTTCTTCAAATTCTTCTTTACTCACGTGGTCTTCTCGAATTTTACGAGCGTCGCGAGACTTCTTCGCTGCTTGATTGTTGCGTTTACGTCTTTCGTAGTATTTCTCATCCTTCTGATTGTCCGGGATTGGTTTCTTTTCACTTCTAGGCCGCCGTTGCACGTTCGTGATGCCGTTCGTGTTCAGAAGATGGCGGGTTACCATACTACCTGTTTTACCGACGCTTATTTTACCCACTGAGAACCTTTTCAAATTAAAAATACAAGTCCACGGCGGTTATTCAAACAATCAAATTTAACATTGTCGTTGAATAAATGAAATATTGATCGTTTTCGACCACAAACTTGCTTAAACAACTACAATATAAAATCACAGACGAGGTCTACGATATACCTCGTTTGAGAGAGTGAAATTTACTTTACCAACAACCAATTATTTTCTTTCAGGATAAACAATCATTTTATGTTTTATTATTTTAAAGACGATCAGGTTTGTGTTTGAAACTGTTACACATTTTGCTTATCCAACGACAGCATTAAATTTTATCGTTCGAATAATTACTCATGTATTTTTAATTCTTCGTTGAAATATTTTGTACGTAAAAAAACTATTTACAATTGTTCTGCTTAGAAACGAAAGACACGCGATCAATGTACATTTAATATTGACGCGACGAAGGCGAGATGTGTTATTCTTATGAAGAATAAAAATACAAAAACATATGCCCCGGGTGAGGATCGAACTCACGACCTTAAGATTATGAGACTTACGCGCTGCCTACTGCGCTACCGAGGCGCTTGTATTCCATGTTTTTAATCACTAATGTTAACGACAAAAGCTCGATAACCATTACGTGTTTAATTTTCTCAATGAGAAAATTAGCAAAACGTCAACTTGCCTGTATTACCGTTCGAGAATGGCTGTGGTACACTTAATGGTTGCATTAAAGGTGGCACGGCAGATAAGAACGGTGGTTGGAGCAAAGATCCCGGAAGGGAAAACGTAGCGGACAGTGACGATGGTGTTAATGGCGATGGTGTTCGGCCGATTGTTGTGTCCGGTGTGCTGGAGTTTGCTAAAACATTCGGATCTCCAAAGCTGTAGTCTCGAGAATTGCTTGGCTCGTATCTGCACAAGTCTACAAATTCAGTGTAATTTATTATAATTAGTAATATTGGGAACAAATTATTTTTAACAGATTTATAAAATTCCTAGATTTCTTTCGCGTAATGGAAAATATTTATGTAATCATGGACGTCGAAGTGATTTATTCAAAGCTTAGTTTACTCTAATTAACACGTTGCAAATTACGTTACAGTGTTGCTATGGTCGACGTACGTGTTATAAAATTACTAAAACTGAGGTAAGTGCCACGAGATTTCTTACAGTCCTTTTACCAAATGGTATATCTGTCTTCCCCATTCCCTAATCAGATCTTTCAAGAAAGAATCGTTGTTCTTTAGCAGTGCAAGTTTGAGTTGCCTTATCTCTTCAAAACTTTCCCATGCATTCTTTCAAACAAACCATCAACGCCCCATAGCTACGTGATTTCAAGTGGCCTTCGACGAGCGTGTCAGGTTTCATTCGTAGAAACATTCTTTTAATGCCACGTGCAGACCATCGTTTTGTCTTAATTTCTCCCACAACGAAAAGCTTCGAACCGATTGGCTTTGACGATCACCAAACGATACCAATATTCTAACATATGGTCGAATACTTGTAATATATCGAATCTATATATATTGTAAAAGCATACATTATATACAGTCGATGGATACAATGATTTTCATCTCTGTACGATATCTCGTTTCTTAATTAGAATTATAAAACTTAATAATTAGCATTACGTGATTTTATAGTGTCTTAGTACCATGGCATACATTTTGAAAAAGCTGAACATCAACAGCCCCTGTGGCCTAATGGATAAGGCATCGGTCTCCTAAACCGGGGATTGTGGGTTCGAGTCCCACCAGGGGTAATACTTTGTGAATATATTTTTTTTCCCATTGTTCGTTGTTTAACGAATAACGTTACCTTCTTACGTAACATTTGCATTTGAACAAGAATTATTAATGATCGAAAGGCAACGTTACTCCGAGATAAAGAAAATAAATTGACAAAACGATTTGTAATTGTATCAACCCCGTTCGTTTCGAGCAATATTTTAATCACACGTATCAAAAAGATAATAGTTGGAGCCAACGTTAAGCGAATTCAGGTGCTCGATCGATCCTACAGCATTAAATAAGTAACGTCGCGTGTTCCAGCGAAATCTTCGTTGGGCTCATTGCGTATTTTACGGAAGCTAATCTTTATATACATATTGTCCTCACGGGGACGTATTACTTAAAAAAATTAACTGTTGTGACAATAATAACAAATCGTAAAACAGCATTTTGTTTCAGGGGTAATTCTACTTTCGAATAAAAGTAGCCTCAGTCATTTATGTATATCGATAACTTGTCTGGAATTAGTAAAATCCTAAAGTCTACAAAAAAGGGCAATTTTATTTTTGTACAATTTGTACAGTTCCATCGTGATTAATTCGTAGCAATTTGATCATAGTACCTGAAGTTGGTCCAAAGAGGTTGTAACTCCTCAAGAGATGCAACGCGGAAAATGCGCCGGACACTGTGCTTCCGGTACAAATTGTCCTTGCGTGCGCGTGGGAGGTCATTCCTTCGAAATAATCCTATGGAAGTCCGGGACACTGACGGAGCCACGTAATCCCAAGCGAAACGATCGGATCACTGTTTTCTTTCAACGCATCGACGATGCATCAGAAACTGGACGATACAGTTCCGCGAAGACAGCCCCGCGGAGTCCATCAATCCCCCCCCGCCCCCTCCGCCCAGAAACAGTATCCCTCGACCAGCAATTTCCAATTAATTCAAAGCGTCAAAAGAAATTCTTCGACGCGCTGAAAACGTCTCGTCCGTCATCTCATCGATCGTTCGTCTCGACCGGTTTCGCGATCCGATTCTTCTCTCGCCCGTCGTCCACGAATTTATTCACATTTTTCACCGGAAGTACCTTCGAAACGAGTCCCGCGACAGCGTTCCTCCGAGGCGATAGAAAGTCGGTAAAACACCGTTGATCGTCGCGATCCCCGACTTCCCATTCGCCCTGTTGACGTCTCGCGTCACGTGCTGTTCTGCTGCATACCTCGACCACCGGAAGAATTTCCAATTCGTCCCCGCGGGGGTTGATTCCCGCCCCTCGACGCGTGCGTAGAGTCATCGTTCCGCCCCTGGGTCGTTAGGGCCGAGCAGCCACCGCGGGTTTCGAGTGGTCAACGAAGACAAACGCCAGCCAGTGACTGGCCAATCGTCTGCCCCGTGGACGTCGCTCGAGACTCGCCAAGAGTAATTGCTCGCCCCCGCGCCTATCACGACCCTGATCTACGATCTGCGCTCATAACAGGTCGTTTCTTTTATCGTGCACCGAGGATTTTCATCGTCGAACTAAATTCTTTGTTCGTGAAAGTCACCGAGGGATAGAGAGATGACTCGTTGACTAGGCGTTTGAGTAGCCCAATTTCCACCAGAAAACCTCCGTATTTACGAAAGATACATTTTCGTTCTATTCACGGTTAACACTGATTATGACTACGTCCAATAAGGTTCTATCAACGTCTGCAGTCGCGATCGTCTCAGCCAATGATAACAATGCGTACGAGGACAAGCTATTCGTTACTCGCCGTTACGCTACGGCCAATCAGTGTGCCCAGCCACCAAGTCATCTCTCTATGGTGTTTACCATCTTATGATTATTCCTTTGAAGAAAAGAAATATCATCACGATTTTAGTAAATATTTATAATTTTCTTGCTCACAGTTGCTTCGAACTTATCCAGTCCTGGACAATATCTTTAATCGTTTAATTACGCCGTAGGTTTATGGTAAAATTATTGCACAACCTAACGTACAGTAAAAGGTACTCGATGAATTTCTAATGCGAACTTTTTTTACTACGTAAGTTTCCCGCAATATTTCGACGTGTTCGTTACACACTTAATGAAATAGAACGATGGCCACAGGTTAACGATAATAAATGTATTTAGATGTTACTGGTTCAGTGTCTATACTCGGGTCAGTGAAGAAAAACAAAGTGGTCGATGCTGCAGCTGCAGTCGTTGGCTACCAAAGAACACTTACGAGTCCAATTCAGGGAAGTTTATTTACATTTGCTGACCATAGATCGAATCTAGACTCGTATCCCTTGTCTCGTGTCCTCTTAAATAAAACACCGACACCATTTCAGAATGCGGCATAATTACAAAGGCGTCGGTAGCCTTTGGTGAAGTCAGATAACTCAACGTCGCGGCACATCAACACTGGAATCACACGAGCTACGAAACAACTTTTCTTTTATGCTTTTCCTTGTCTTACAATTGAAAACAACCAAGACAGATAGAGGAATGCTGGTCTGATCCGTCTCTGTTGGTTTGCAAAACAAGGAAGAACAAAAACACGACGCTCGTGCGATCCTAACGTAAAAGTATCCACAGAACTCTTAAAAAACCAACCTCGGAGCGATTCTTTTATCGTGGATCAAGAAGTACGGTAATTCTACGGACTTTTACCCCCGAGTTTCGCCGCAACGTGCAACTATCTGCAACTTTTAGCCGGTCTACGCAAGAATATCGTTCCGCCAGGCTGGACAGAAGTCTCTACGTGTTTCTAATGTCTCTGGGACAATCGGCAGCTGACATTTCCATGCCGGCGAATGTTTAATGCGCCAGTAATTATTACGAGCCAAATTAGACGACGGGGAATTGCAACATTGATGAGGCTCGGGACGGGGTTTCGAATTATTTTTTAGCCTCATCAATGATGCAACCCCCTTCTTCGACACGGTTATTAATTAAGCGGTCAAGAGATCGATTGCTTTCTGCGACGTGGCCTCTGAAAACATCTAGAAACTTTTGTTCTTTCGATCAATCTGTACAAAATATTATTTTTTTTATTACTACACTACTAAATTTACAATAAATTTTATTAGGCAATTTCTACTGACTATGTTGACTAAGGACAATTACATGAATGGTATACTGGTGAATACATAAGTGTGAAGACGTAGATCTTAAGTAAATCTATTAGCTAACTTAAGAGTAGATCTCTTGAGCATGTAGGTGTAGTCTGTGGTTTGTAACAAATTGGTAATTAAACTATTGTTCTCCAGGTCCAGGTCCCTATGAATTATTTTATTAGATACGATCTTCTAGGTCTGGGTTAGGTCTGGATTAGGTCTGGGTTTGGTCTGGGTTAGGTCTGGCTTAGGTCTGGGTTAGGTCTGGGTTTGGTCTGGGTTTGATCTGGGTTAGGTCTAAGTTAGGTCTGGGTTAGGTCTGGATTAGGTCTGGTTTTGGTCTGGGTTAGGTCTGGGTTTGGTCTGGGTTTGATCTGGGTTAGGTCTGGGTTAGGTCTGGGTTTGGTCTGGGTTAGGTCTGGGTTAGACGTAGAGCTTAAGTACAAATTGCTAATTAAACTATTGTTCTCCAGGTCCAAGCCCCTATGAATAATTGTATTACATACGATCTTCAGGATTTTAGACTGCACGAAGAGAATACCGTAGAGGGAAATGTTGCTGATGAATGCTCATCCTCAGAAGATCTACATATGTAGTCAACCGAAGAATCGAAGCTAGGAGTTTGCTGATTCCAGGAATCGGATAGCGGAGAATCCTTGTTCGTTTCGTACCAACAAATGTTAGGTTACAGAACGATAATTGCAACGAAGAAAGTTTGTAGGCGCGACGGTGATTTACGGCCTGGCATGTCCTCGCAGTGTGCCAGAAAAGGACGAGGTATTCGGGCTCTATCGCTGGTTCGAATTTAACCTGGGGGCCTGGCGGAGAGGGAGGCAGGCACCCCGGGTTAAATAACGCCATTTGTTATCGTAATATCTAATTTGGCGGCGAAGGGTGATGCGCTCGCTGCCATGTGGCCGTGATCTCACGAGGCCGCAGTACACAGGTGTCTTAGGAACAACAGTTAGCATGAACGCAAGTATCGCCAGGTGTGCCAGAGAACAAGGACTATGGAATGAATCATTTCACGGAACTGGTTCCGGTTGCTCAACCCAATTTTTCAAATACAGGATTCACCGGTGACGGTGACGCAATTTTAAAAATACATTCGATCAAATTTATACGCGAAACAATGTCGTGTTTAGTCTCATGTTAATTAGAAAAATCTCCCCCACATGATAGTAAAATTTGTATTAAAAAAAAGTAAAAAATAAAAAACTTTCCTCTTGTACAGCAGTGTGGTCACACTGAAGATGACGAAGGCGATAAAGATTGTTAAAGAAAGCCGCTACGTCTCCGGTTACACTTCGCCTCACTGGTTCAAGGGGGATCCCCCTAGTGGTGGGGATAAAAATGTATCATTTATCGAGTTTTCATGTATTACGATCACCGATCGCAGCCATGATGCATTCGATCGATCCCCGACGCATCGTAGCAGAAAACAATAAACGAGATTGTCCCGAGCATTACGAGTAACGTTCGCGTCGCTTTGTCGGACGCTCGTTATCATTATGTGGCTCGATGCGCGATAGCGAACGCCCCCGCGATGGGCAACCGTGGTTTCTCGCTAGGTTTGCCCGTGCGAACCGAAACACCTGTCCACGGCCAAACGGGGTAACGTGACATCGCGTCGTGTGACCTCCTGAGCCCCCCTTACGCGCCCCGAAAACCCCTTCGATCCCCATTACGATGCTCGACCTCCCCGGGTAATCTGCCTAATCGACGTCCTGAAAACCACGGATTACACACCAGCCACCGATATCTTCCTACGGCCATCGAGTTTCGCGCTCCCTCCCGCCTTTACAGCTCGGTTGCGCAACAAACTGGCATTTCTAACTGAATAATTCACGCTCGGGGATGAACAGACACGGACCAACGTTTAACATAAATAAAGTTTACAAGCTTCGCGTTGCTTTCGACGAAAAGGTGTTATCGGATACAACAAAATCTTAGACCGTGTTGCAGAGACAAAATCCAAGATGGCGCCACGAGATTTTATTATTTCGTTCCAGTGTACGTCAGCCAGCGTCCAAGAATCGCGTCGTACGCTTCAACAAGTATTTTTAACGTCGACCCGGTCGCAGAAGTTTCGTCGTAGGTTTCGAAAGGCGATGAACACGAAGCCAAGGGATCACGCAACGACACCGTGTTCCACAGTTTGTACACCCGAGAACGACAGCGCGGCGAGGGGGTCGCGTGTCTGGCCCTTAATTCTATCCTACGTCCCCCCGTACGCCACCCTCCCGCCGCCACCCTTTGCCGCGCAAGAGGCACGGATTCCTTGCACCCTCGCGCAAAGTCACGAATCCAGCGACGCCCCCGTTGTTTCACAACTCGAGCAAAGTTATCTCATCAAGTCGTCACGAGGACTCCCTGCCCTCCCCCTATCCTCCTTTCCAACCCCGTTTACCGCCTTGGCCGGCACGTACCCCCTCCACGGCCGGTTGCAAAAGATGCGATTAAACTTTTCTTGCTTTGCTCGACTTTGCCTATTTACGATCTCGCCTTCCGCGCCTCGCTCTTCGAGGTACGCTCGGTGTCAGGTGCACCGATTAGCTGCTTTCCTCTTCTCGTTAACTTGTTTACTTTTTATTCTTCCTCCTGTTATGTATTGCCTGGGCCAATCCCCTCCCAAAGCTGCATTCATAAT